CAGAGGCAACTGGACCATACAGCCCCCAATTCCGCAAGTGAAATTATATTTTTGTTTTTCTATAAAGTAATATTTTGTGACCAAACTGAGCACCTCTAATCTGGAATTCTGGATTCCGTGAACCCAAAATCCAAAACCGTGCACATAGAAGGCTGAGGTGGACTCCCTTCCTTCCTTTCTCCCCTTTGTCCTCCTCCTACTTCACTTCTTGCGGCCTGGATTCAAAGTGGAAACAGTTTTCGCTCAGAAAGCTTGGCACACTGTCCAAAACACTCCGCTCTAAGCGTGGGCATGTTTACACGCCGGATGGAACGACAGCCAGAGACCACTCCCCCCCTGCAGGGCCCGCCTGCCTTTCCTTCCCGCCTCCCTGATAGACTCAGCGGAGAAGGGAGGGGGCGGGGCTCTGCCACCACTTCCGGTAAGGGCACTTCCGGTAAGAAAAGCGACTCGGTTTCCACCATAAAGGAGGGGAGATGTCACCACCGAGCTGGCAGGAGATAGAGCGGCTCTGCGCAGCGTACGGAATAGCGCCCCACTTCGGTTAACCGGAAGTTGATTCTCTGCATCACTCCCCTGTTGCATTCAATGCGCCCCATTTCGCCTCCTCTCTTCTCTCGCGAGCATTATGGGAGGTCTTTTTAAAAAAATCTCTTTTTTGGGAGAGCACTTTTTGAAAAGCACACATGCCTTTGTTAAGGGCCCTTTTTTCAGGCCCCATCTACACGGCCATATAATCCAATTTCTAAATAAAACGGATTATATGACAGTGTAGGCTCATATAATCCAGTTTCAAGCAGATAATCTATTCAGCAACTACATTATATAGTCAGTATAGATGGGGTCTCACTGGGCAGCCTCAATAAGGCTCTGGCAGGATTTGCCTTCTGCCATCATGATAGCTTCAATTTACAACCACCAGATAAATAAAAAGCACTTCAAGAGTGCAGCTACACTCGACAATACATTGAACATCTCTATGGGGACAAACTTCCAAGCAGGAGAGAATGCTTCTAGACCATGACCATATAGCCCGGAAAAACCTACAACAACCCTGCAGCTACACTGTTTAATTAATGCAGTTTGGCACCACTTTAACTATCCTTGCTTAATTCTATGGAATCCTGGGATTTGTGGTTTGGGGAAGTCTCAGCACTCTTGTAGAGAAAGCTCAAGCCCTTGCAGAAGTACAGCTCCCGAGATCCCACAGCACTGAGCCACAGCTGTTGAAGTGTCAAAGCGCATTCATTCTGCAATGTAGATGCACCTCATGGCATCCTGGTAACAGACCTACTCCAAGGCTTGGTTCTCAACCTGTGCATTCCCAGGTGTTTTGACCTACAACTCCCAGAAATCCCAGCCAGTTTACCAGCTTTTAGGATTTCTGGGAGTTGCAAGGCCAAAACTTCAAGGCTCTGGGTCCTGACGCCCTTCAATGAACCAATCTTTCCCCCCTACTCTGTGGGGGATTCCCAAGTCACCTGTATTCTCATAGCAATCTCATTATTTTCATGTTTTCTTAGGCCCTATCTACACCGTCATATAATCCAGTTTCTGAATTCAGATTATTGGCTTTGAACTGATATGGCAGTGTAGATAGTGGGAATAGTGGGCCCTCAGTATCCACTGGGGCTTAGTCCCAGGAACTCCTTGCAGACTACGTTCTGTGGGTGCTCAAGTTCCATTGTATATAATGGCCTAGTAAAATGGGGTCCTTCTCATAATATGCTAAATAGGTGGTTCTCATCCTGTGGGTCTCCACATGTTTTGGCCTTCAACTCCCAGAAATCCTAACAGCTGGTAAACTGGCTGGGATTTCTGGGTGTTGTAGGCCAAAACACCTGGGGACCCACATGTTGAGAACCACTATGCTAAATCAAGGTTTGCTTTGGGTTTTTTAAAAAATACTTTCAATCTGTCAATCCGTGGTTCACTGAATTCCTGGATATAGCATGCCGGCTGTGCAGAAAGGTGGTTTTGGTCATTCTTTTCTCTAAAAAATATAGCCTACAGCACCAGGTATCTGTTGGTGGCCTCTCATGCAAGTACAACTTTCCTGATCAGACTGCATCTAGTGTACCCTAAAAAAGGATCCAAAACTGGATGCAGTACTGCAGAGGTCTGACTGGTGCAGAATATCATGGGGTTATTACTTCCCTTGACTGAGTAACCAGGCTTCTGTTACTGCAATCTAAAATAGTGGTGCTCCATCGTTGCTGGCTCATGTTCAACTTACAAGATACTCTAATACTCTTTCTAAAACAAAACTGGATACTTCTTTATCCCCATTCTATGTTGTTTGATTTTTAAAAAATCCTGCTAGCCTGGGCAAATGCGGATGGTGAAACTCACCCTTTCACAGACAGTGTGGCTGAATTTCCTTTACTCCCCCTTTTACTGGCTCGAAGGGCTGCTGGACCACAAGTACAGAGGGGTGAGGCTAATGAAGAGGCATCCCTGGTGCCTTGGAGCCTAGGTTGTGCCTTCCTCATGCCATTTTGGAGGTTCTCCATAGATGTTACATTTATCACCTTTCAAGCCACCAGGACTCTCAGGGCAGTGCAAAATTCATTTTAATTCTATCAGCTTAAATTAGAAATGTTATTTTATTCTGTTTTAAATATTACACTGAGATGGAGCAGGATATGATAAAAGGTTTTCAATAAATGAGCATAGTTCAGTGATTTAAAGTAATTTGGCTGGGGCTGAAGTTCTGAATCCAAATTAGTGAATAAGAGTGGATGAATGTCAGCAGCTGAATGAAACTCTTAGTAAATGAAGAGCAGTTAACCGTTACCCTATAAAACATTCAATTGTTTAGTTCCTGTTCCTAGCCCATGTGCAGTATATTTAAAGTTGCAGAAAATGCGACCTTCACAGAAAAGCTTGAACAATTTAAAGAGCTGAAATTCAATCTGGCATTCAGTGTCACTTTAAAGGCATGTTTTCCACCCAAAATGAAATTAACAATAAGGCTATGCGCACATTTCACACTTAAAAATAAAGCAAACTTAAAACTGTTCATGCCTGTTTATTCAAGATAAAAAAAATCTTTTATGCCACTAACACGCAGGCGCCACCAACTCCTTTGATTTTCTCTTCTGCTCTTCTACTGAAAAATTTTGCTTTCACAATTACAGGCTGTTTTGGCAGCTTCCCCTTGCCCAGGACTTTGTAATAACCCTAAAAAGAGAAGGCAGTGTTAATACAAGTTCTACAACAATACACTCTGTTTCTTGAAGCTGATATATGTCGTGTTCTAAATACAGCGAATTGACAAAGGATTTGGAAGTACTCTATATCAATTCTGTCCTCATAACTATTTAGTGAGACTTATAAACCAATGTTTGGAAATATGTTTTCCATGAAAGTTAAGGGACAACTTTACTGAATTTTATCCAGTCCATAGTATTACTATGTTGGCTCCACTTCTTAACACTTGCAGTAACATCAGCACTTGTGAGGAATACTAACATCTGCCAACAACCAAAAAAGGTTACACACATGTCTGAAGTCACTAAGTGTGTCAGTCACTGAATCGCACAAATGTAGAGTGCCTTCTTGGTTGAGCAAAAAGAAATTACATGGACATGAAACTTGAGTAATACTGTATGTTCTAAGAGAAATGTACATAATTTGGTCTCCATCTCTAGGATAGTAAAACAGGTTTCAATATTGTTCCTTGCACAGTGAGTCGGGCTGTATGGTTCTTATAGTCTCTTACAACTCTTATGATTCTAAGAAAAATAGCATAGCTTTCATCTGAACATATATTAAATTTCAGCAATTTTTGCTGAATATTTCTATTTAAAACATCTTCAGTGATCAAGTTCATGCTTGATCTCTGAAGACTCGGCATAAAGATACTAGACAACTAAATGTTTTCTGTAATAATTTATAGAATCAAAATAGACAGCAAGAATTCATGACACTTACTGCGCGCACAACATCAATCACTGGAGCCAATCCTGCTGGATTCTTGGCATAATTGAGCCTGGTCTGCTCACTAACCAGTGTCCAGAGCTTATCCAAGTTCAGTGTGGGGCAGAAGTGCTGATTTTTTTTCAGATGGTAATGTCTCATGCCAACTTTTCCAAAATAACCAGGATGACTGAGGGAAAAAAATCATAACTAAAGTAAAGTCATGGTCTGAATAATCTCAAAATGTACCTGTATCACTACCTAGCCAGAGATCACAAAAGGAATGAACATCGTATATTTGATAGCATAAATTTATCTTGGAAAGCAGTATCAAGTTGGTGACCTCAGATTTATTACTGTTTGCCTAGGTGCTTCATGAGGTACATGCACACCGCTATTTTGACTCTGTGACTGCCATTTTGACTCTGTGACTGCCACATGGACATAGAAATCCATAGCAGTCAGTGGAAATAAAATGAGCACAGCATTTTGCTTTGTTCATACATAAGGGTAAATCCAATTTCCACTGGCAGATCTTGTATTTCTTCTCATCCTTTCAAAAATGCCTCCAAAAGGATACCCAGCACTTCTGACCTAGTTTTGGAAGGTGCTGTGAGCCCAAAATGGTGATGGGCAACTGTAGCCCTATCCACCTTTCCAGTTATGCTGAATACCATCATTTTCAGTTGAAATCCACTACTGGATCATGCCTGATTGTAATAAAATCTACCTTTTAAAAAGTCTGTGATCATTAACTAGAGCAAGCCTGCACGTCTAATTATGCTAAAATCTACTGAGAGTCTGTGATAAGGGCTACAGAGAACCTCCTAAAATATTATATTGTCATATAAATAATTTTCAATAATTTTAACATTAAAGTATTTTTGTTATTGCATTTTTTCCAGAATGCTACTGACAGTCTGCTGAGATCCTTTTTATTTGTTTTAAACTCTACAATTAATCTGCATTTCCTCCCAATAATTCTAGCAGATCACTGCACTTGTTAGAAATCTCAAGCGCTGACCTGTTTTCAAAATACGAAGAACTATTATCCTTGTCCTCCTGATCCCCATTTGAGACATTGTTGCTAACCAGGCAACTGACTGGACTACGGAGGACAGTCAGTGAATAAAGGTTAGCTGTTTCTCTCCGAGTACTATAGCACACCAAGATAACTGGCAATACCTAGATGTGACTCTAGCCTCGGCAATTTGTGCATGTAGTTTCATGTCAAGCTTTATATGAGAGCTGCAGTCTTAAAATAAATCAATCCCACTAACTGAAATTCACGAGATAAATTGTACAATGTCCCACACCATAAACAAAATAATCTAGTTGCTGTATTGAACAGTATTACAACATCTATCACAACTAAACAACAAGAAAAATAAGCTTACTATTTGTCAAAATTGATCCTGTGGTGGTGCATACCCCCAGCATTACCTCGGCCTCCAGGATGTTTCCTGTGTTTTCCTACGAGAAGTGAAATTCAATTTAAGAAAGCAAACCAAACCAACATACCTACATTTTCTCTTAATACAGATACATATTGCCCTCACAGCAGGCGTGATTAAAAGCAATATCAAACTGAACACTTCCCAGTTTAAATATAGAGTTTGCAGGTACTGGCAATAAAAATCCTTTTTAGAAAAGCTTTCCATGCACTACTCCACCTATCCACCACATTCCCAGTCCTATGTCTAGTTGGAAATTGATGTTTTGAGCTGGGAAATAGGACTTTATCCTAGTTATTTGTAATGTATTTGCATGTGTTCATCTATTAAAAGCAAGTTAAACAGCAACTGTTTCCAGAATTCTTAACGGAGTATGGACAAACAGCAAGACAAAGAGAGAAAAAACAAAGATTTCTTAAGTTTAGTCAAAAAATTGTAAATTGTAAATCTTAAGAATGCATTTTGGGCAAAACTTTCAGATGGTTTGCAGACAATTCAAAAAGTTTCCATTTTCTTATGCAAGGCTTACTGGACTTATGAAAATGCCCGTTTTTGTGGTGTAGGGACCTTTCTGTATTCTAATATGCCTATCTTAATAAAACGTTTTGACTGTGCGGTGAATGAATTAGAACCAGACATCCTGAGGAGTGAGGTTGAATGGGCCTTAAGAAGCATTGCTAACAACAAGGCAGCAGGAGACGATGGGATCCCAGCTGAACTGTTTAAAACCTTGAAAGATGATGCTGTCAAGGTGATGCATGCCATATGCCAGCAAATATGGAAAACACAAGAATGGCCATCAGACTGGAAAAAAAATCAACTTATATCCCCATACCAAAAAAGGGAAATGCTAAAGACTGCTCAAACTTCCGTACAGTGGCCCTTATTTCTCATGCCAGTAAGGTAATGCTCAAGATCCTGCAAGGAAGACTCCAGCAATACATGGAGCGAGAGTTGCCAGATGTTCAAGCTGGGTTTAGAAAAGGCAGAGGAACGAGAGACCAGATTGCCAATATCCGCTGGATAATGGAGAAAGGCAGGGAGTTTCAGAAAAACATCTACTTACTGCTTCATTGACTATTCTAAAGCCTTTGACTGTGTGGATCATAATAAATTGTGGCAAGTTCTTAGGTGGGATGGGCATCCCAAGCCACCTTGTCTCTCTCCTGAGGAATCTGTACAAGGACCAAGTAGCAACAGTCAGAACTGACCACGGAACAACAGACTGGTTCAAGATTGGGAAAGGCGTACGGCAAGGATGCATCCTCTCACCCAACCTTTTTAACTTGTATGCAGAACACATCATGCGATGTGCGGGGCTTGATGAATGCAGGGCTGGGGTGAAATTGCTGGAAGAAACATTAACAACCTCAGATATGCAGATGACACCACCTCTGATGGCCGAAAGCGAGGAGGAGCTGAGGAGCCTTCTAATCAAGGTGAAAGAAGAAAGCGCAAAAGCTGGGTTGCAGCTAAACATAAAAAACCAAGATTATGGCAACAAGGATGATTGACAACTGGAAAATAGAGGGAGAAAATGTGGAGGCCGTGACAGACTTTGTATTTCTAGGTGCAAAGATTACTGCAGATGCAGACTGTGGCCAGGAAATCAGAAGACGCTTACTTCTTGGGAGGAGAGCAATGTCCGGTCTCAATAAAATAGTAAAGAGTAGAGACATCAGACTGGCAACAAAGATCCGCCTAGTCAAAGCCATGGTATTCCCTGTAGTAACCTACGGATGTGAGAGCTGGACCTTAGGGAAGGCTGAGCGAAGGAAGATCGATGCGTTTGAGCTGTGGTGTTGGAGGAAAGTGCTGAGAGTGCCTTGGACTGCGAGAAGATCCAACCAGTCCATCCTCCAGGAAATAAAGCCCGACTGCTCACTGGAGGGAAAGATACTAGAGACAAAGTTGAAGTACTTTGGCCACATCATGAGGAGACAGGAAAGCCTAGAGAAGACAATGATGCTGGGGAAAGTGGAAGGCAAAAGGAAGAGGGGCCGACCAAGGGCAAGATGGATGGATGGCATCCTTGAAGTGACTGGACTGACCTTGAGGGAGCTGGGGGTGGTAACGGCCGACAGGGAGCTCTGGCGTGGGCTGGTCCATGAGGTCACGAAGAGTCGGAGACGACTGAACGAATGAACAACAACAATAAAACGTTCCTATGCATTTAGTTAGTGTACTGATATTTGGTGCTGGTCATCAACCATAATAAATATATAGTGTAGTGATAGAACAGAAGATTAAAAATTCCATTATACCCCCCCCCCCCAATAATAATCAAATAATCACTTCAAACCTCTTTTGAAGAGAGAGAGAGAGAGAGAAACCACATTTGTGAAGATAACATGGTTTATGTTTTCCAACGGGAAACCATTTATCCATTTGCTACTTTAACAATGGATCTTGGTGGATTACATAAGCATAAAACTGATCTATAAATTTCATAAGTATGCTATAGTACATTACATTGTATGTTTCATTTTGTATTGTCAAACTCATTTTTTTGTGTCAGGAGCAACGAGAAATTGCAAGTTGCTTCTGGTGTGAGGGAACTGGCTATCTGCAAAAACATTGCTCAGGGGACGCCCGGATGTTTTACCATCCTTGTGGAAGGTTTGTTTCATGTCCCCGCGTAGGGAGCTGACAGAGGGAGCTCACCCGCGCTTTCCCCGGATTCGAACCTCCGACCTGTCCATCATCAGTCCTGCTAGCATAAGGGTTTAACCCATTGTGCCACTGGGGCTCAAACAATTTCCATAGAATCAACATTCCCAGAAATACATAATCCCCAGCACTTACCAATGCGGCCATGGCCGTGACTGACATGGCCTCTAAGTTTCCTGGTCTTCCTCAGCCTGGAAGGCTTAAAAGACAAGACTTGTGTGAAAAAAAGTTTTACATGAGAAAAACACACATTATACAACATATTGACATTACACTACTTTATAGATATGCTATCTAAATATTTAAATAATTTAAGCAAATCATCCTCCTTCAAATTTGTTCAGCCTCTTCATCTGCTACCCATTCCTTGGGGCAATTTCTAAACATATTTGCTTCCTTGCTATGGACTTTTATTTATACTTTATTTATACTTTAAAAGGAAACATAAAGTATGTTTTGCTATATGAGACCAGTTTCTGCAAGAATGTTTCTTTCCACCCTGAAGCTTCTACCACCATATTAAATTAAAACTTTAGTGGAAAATTTTGAAGTGCAGTTTATTTATCCAAAAACAAAAAGAGACAACTCAAGTGACCAAGAGACTGCAAATGTAAGAGTTCTAGGCGTGATTTTTTTTAGGTCACATTCCCTGCATGTCTGAAATGAATTGAAAGCACACAACAACAATCCTATCTCATCAGCCAAAAGCAAGCCCAGACTTCCCATTGAAATACGAATAAGTTTATATTTGTTAATTTTGTTCTTCATTTTAATTATTGTAAACTTGCAAACTATTGTAAACTTGCAAACAACCTTGCCGAAGAATCAGAGTATTGTTTTTAAATGTTTTTGCACTACAAATAAGATATGTGCAGTGTGCATAGGAATTCATGCATATTTTTTGAAATTATAATCTGGATCTCCAGCAATTTGAGGGACTGTGACCCCTCTGTTTAAAAAGTTTAAGGACCCCTGCTATAGACAATGCAGTTGCTGTTGCCCAGTCTTGGTCAAAAATTATTTTGCCACTTGTGCTCCTTCTATTTTTATCAGTTTTATGCAATGCTTTTGACACAAAATAAACAAATGTGTAAGTATTCAAGAACCTGAAAGCATACCTAATTCCTGTTAAATGGCTGATTTTTTTTACAAGTTCCATGCTGGTTTAGGATTCAGAGCAGGCCTGCACAACAAGTAGGCTGTTAGGAATTGTGGGAGCTGACGTCCAAAACCTGGAGGGCCGAAGTTTGCCCAGGAATGGTGGGAGTTGGAAGTCCAAAACACCCGGAGAGCTCAAGTTTGCCTGCACCTGCTATAGCCATTGTAAAACTACAACTCCCATGAGTCTATTGGCATTGAAAAGTATGCCAAACTCCCAAGGCACTATCAAATCCATGCAGTTTGACCCTACTTTAATTGTCACGGATTAAGGTTATAGAATCCTGGGGTTTGTAGTTTGGTGGGGAACCAGCAATCTTTGCCAGAGAAGGCTATAGCCCAAGCCTGGGCAAACGTGGGCCCTCCGGGTGTTTTGGACTTCAACTCCCACCATTCCTCACAGCCTCAGGCCCCTTCCTTTTCCCCTTCAGCCGCCTAAGCAGCTCCCAGGAGTCTATGGGCATTGAAAAGTGTGTCCTACACGGTTCTCCTGCAGCACAGGACAGCCCCAACTCCCAAGGCTTTCTCCTCCCGCCACGCCGCCCTTGTACCTACCATCTTGCCCAGCCACGGGGAAAGAGGAAAAGGAAGGCCCTCTTCGCGAGATTTCACAAAGCGCCCTGAAACCTCGCGATATCCCGAGCACGAGGAGGAGGAGGCGGGGACAGAGATCACGCCTCTCATTTCCGGGTCTTCTTCAGATCGCCCGGCGTGGGGCAAATGAGGTTGAAATCCTCAGGGATTCCCTTTGGTGATATTGTTGTTGTCGCTCTTGGCAAGCAAAGCCGTTCCAACCCTGATCAGTACTTGGATGGGAAACCAGGTATTGTAAGCAATATATCCGAAGGAGGAACCTTGCAAACCACCTTGCCGAAGAGTCAAAGAGTTGGAAGAGACCTCATGGGCATCCAGTCCAACCCCCTGCCAAGAAGCAGGAAAATTGCATTCAAAGTACCCCCGACAGATGGCCACCCAGCCTCTGTTTAAAAGCCTCCAAAGAAGGAGCCTCCACCACACTCCGGGGCAGAGAGTTCCACTGCTGAACAGCTCTCACAGTCAGGAAGTTCTTCCTCATGTTCAGATGGAATCTCCTCTCTTGTAGTTTGAAGCCATTGTTCCACTTTCTAGTCTCCAGGGCAGCAGAAAACAAGCTTGCTCCCTGTGACTTCCCCTCACATATTTATTCATGGCTATCATGTCTCAAGCTAAAAATGCCCAGCTCTTTAAGCCGCTCCTCATAGGGCTTGTTCACCAGACCGTTGATCGTTTTAGTCGCCCTCTGGCCACATTCCAGCTTGTCAATATCTCTCTTCAATTGTGGTGCCCAGAACAGGACACAATATTCCAGGTGTGGTCTGACCAAGGCGGAATAGAGCATGGGGAGCATGACTTCCTCTGAAGTTTATGGGGCTGACGAGCAACTTGGAGACATATAGGCTGTTGTTGAGGGAATACAATCCTGACTAATGCTCATGTTTAAAGGCTGAAACTTAGCTATCGGTAGTATAGACTAATTCAAAAACTGGTCTTGCTAGGTTTTGGACTCCAGCTCCCAGACTTCCTCAACATTGACCAAAGAAGCTGAGGCTTCTGGGAATTGAAGTCCAACAACAGGAAAGACTCGTTTGGGGATCCCTTTCTGACTGAGCATGCGCAGAGTGACGCCAACTACTCCTTTCTGTGGGAGAGGAGGAGGAGTTGTGCACCAGCACTTCCGGCACGAAACTATAGCCAGGAAGCGGGAGGGATCACCAAGATGGCGGCCTACAGCAGTTCGTCTTTGCAACCGGAAATTCACCCGTCACTTCCGGTTCCAGTCAAATCCCCGCCCTTCAGGAACATTCTGAGAGGTTCTCCAACTTCCCTTTTCCTTCTGTCCTTTCTCTTCCTGCGGGGAAGGTGAGTACGAGGGAGCGGCCTTTGAAATGTGTAAACTATTACACCCTGTGTAACAATATTTGAATTTTTTTTCTGTTCCTAGTTTGAAAGTCTTATTTCCTGCTTAATTGTGCGGTACTTACTTTGAAAGTCATTGTTATACTCCAGAAACGTAGTTTTTGTGGCTGCCACAAACTATGTTGAATTGGTTGAGACTCATATTCATTGAAAAACTATAGCAAAATGTGCTACAGGATGTCCCGCAAAAACAAAAGTTTTTGTGTTTTAATAAACCTTTTCCATGTCCCTTAGGAAATGATGTTTTGAACCCAGGAACAAAAATTACGTTCTCATCACTTATTCTAGTGATGAGATCTGATGGATTTGTTATATTGATGTACTGATACATTGTTGTATTGATGTTTACTGTTTAACTAACTGTTATGTGATTGCTTTTAAATACCCAATAACCTTGTACTTTGTATACTGAAACTGTTGCTGTTAACCGCTCCGAGTCGCCTAAGGGCTGAGAGGAGCGGTATACACATAAAGTAAATAAATAAATAAATACGTTACATAGTATGATCAGATAATGGTGAGATTGTTATTCATGAGGGCAAGTCTTCATCTTGGGTAGTTAACTAAGCACTTGGAGGAACTTTAATATTTTTCCCCAGTTTTGTGCAAAAGACAGAAGGAAAAGATTAAAAAAGAAAAAATATTACTGCTTTTCTAATGTTTTGTAGCCTTAGCGTCACATTCTGATGTTGAAAAAAACATGGAGATCCAGGAAACATTTCTGAATGCGCTCAGGCTGCAAGAGGCTGGAGGAGCACCTGTCTTCTATTCCAGATTCAGAGCATATCTACAGGGTAGAACAGTGTTTCTCAACTTGTGGGCCCCCATATGTTTTGGTCTTCAACTCCCAGAAATCCTAACGGCTCATAAACTGGCTGGGATTTCTGGGAGTTGTAGGCCAAAACACCTGGGGACCCACTGGTTGAGAACCAGTGCTGTAGAATCAATGCAGTTTGGCACCACTTTTAACAGCCATGATTATTTGCCAAAAAGTGCTGGTGCCTCTGCAAATTAGAACTCCCTGGATTCTACAGTATTGAGCCACAGCAGTTAAAGTGGTTCCAAACTGCATCGATTCTACAGTGTAACTGCAGCGCCAGTTCAGCAGATCCCGAAAGTAACCTATGCCATGATTTAGTAGTCAAAACTTCTTAACGCCAATAAACGAGACTAGAGTCACATCTCAGTGTAGTCTATCATTGTGGTGTGCTATGGTACTCGGAGAGTGACGACTGACTTTTCTTCACTGGCTGTTTTACTTGTTACAGCCAGTCACCCGGTTAGTGACAGAAGGCCTGCACTTGGTGGAAAAGCCAGAGTGTTCATAATGATCTTTAGTCATCTTAGTCATGAAATCTTATAAAAAAATTAGTAGGGCTTTCCCTGCTGTTGTTTTCCTCATGTTGGATAGCTCTATTGGCCATCTACACTGAACGTAAAGGTCTTTTGTCCCCTCTGGCATGCTGTTCTGCTCATTTTGAAAGTTTTATAAATCGATTAAATACAGGTTTAACTTGCTTAATTTTTTTAAAGATGAACGACATCTTGTGGTAAGTTAAACTGATTGCATTTATATACACTGAAGTGAGGTTTCAGCATTTTGAAGAATTTCTGTACATATTTGCATTGCTTGTGTTACTTTTAGGCAAACAGATGAAATATCTTGAAGATCACAATAATATTGGAAGAGCATAATACAACTAATCAGTTATGCTGAGACAATTCAGTGGCACGCCAGGAGCACATTTGCCCGGTCAGTAGAACCCCAATATAACCTCCATTTTTATATTAAGAGTGAACATTTTTACCTTTTCATTTTTAGTGGAAGCAAACAATGATATGCTGAATGTATTGTCGAAGGCTTTCATGGCCAGAATTATCAGGTTGTTTTAGGTTTTTCAGGCTATATGGCCATGTTCTAGAACAGTGGTTCTCAACCTGTGGGTCCCCTTTTTTTGGCCTTCAACTCACAGAAATCCTAATAAACTGGCTGGGATTTCTGGGAGTTGTAGGCCAAAACACCTGGGGACCCACAGGTTGAGAACCATGGTTCAATTTATTTATTTATTGTTTATTTATTATATTTCTATCCCGCCCTTCTTCCCTCACAACCTCTGAGGATACCTGCCATAGATGCAGGCGAAACATCAGGAGAGAATGCTTCTAGAACATGGCCATATAGCCCGAAAAACCTACCACAACCCAATGACATGTTGCCTAACATATCACATTACTTTGAATAGAATGTAACTATTATGATGCAAGTCTGTGTGATTGAGGATCCTATATACCGAGACTAGAGTCACATTTAGATGTTACCCATCATCGGAGTGTGCTATAGTCCTCGGAGAGAAATCGCTGGCCTTTATTCACTGACTAGGTTATTCAGTAGCAGGGTCAGTCACCCGGTTAGCCACAAGCCTTCACATCAGTCTTCCTGAACCTCCAATGGTGTCAAGAGGCAAAATAGCCCCAGATCACATTGCTCATGCTCTTAAAAGGAAGACAAACAAGGACAAACACAGGTGCTCTTTTTAAAAAACTATGCTGATTAATAAAAACTTCAAGAATATTGTTGAAATATTATTTAATATAATCTACACAAGTACTGCACTGTTTCTTATTGCTTAGTAAAGGCAGCAATTTAGAATGAGATCCAATTTGTGTGAATGACAGTGGATTGGCCCGGACTATGATTTCAAACCTGCATGATTTTAAACAATGTTTTAGTAATTTTGAAGCATTAGCGAATTGTTTTAATTGCTTTTATCATTTATTACTGTTGTTGGCATTGAATGAATGCCTGTTGTGAAGCCCCTCTGGGGATGAGAAGGACAGGATACAAATATGTGAAATAAATAAAATAAATTAGCCATTCTGTTTATTTTGGAAATGTAGATCAGAGAGACTTGTAAATTGAAGCAAAAGGCAATACCAGATAAACAGTATTGGTGAGCAGATGAATAAAAAATCTCTATAAAGTTGTTGTTATTATTATTATTACACCGAACTGTGCTTGAAATTAAGTTTAATGAGCTCCTCTTGTTGAAGTTGTATATTTGTTAAATTCAGGCTGAATTATTCTAAACAAGATTAAAATGTATGGACAGTATTCCACTGTCTTCCAAGTCTTTTGTTTGTTACACATTTTAAAGGGGCAATATTGACAACTGGATTTTTGCCTTACCAAATTCCTTACGGTTGTGATTCTCAACCTGTGGGTTCCCAGGTGTTTTGGCTTACAACTCTCAGCGATGCCAGCCAGTTTACCAGCTGTTAGGATTTCTGGGAGACCAACAGGTTGAGAACCACTGCCTTACAATGACTAAATCATTAAGTGCTCTATGTAAATCTGTCCTTACCTATTAATATTGTCAAGAATCATTGTAAAAAACTGTAACATTTAGATAGATTTCCAGAAGCTGTTTTTGTATGTACATCAATTTCAGTTTTTGTCTGTAAAGTCCTGTAAAAATTGGCAAAGTGCAACCCTCCAGATACTATTCATCTTCACTTCCCACCATCCTCTACTCTTGTCTATAAATAGAAGTTTTTTGTCTTAACATTTGGAGAAACTCATGCCACATTTTGACTCTGAAAAAGCTGGGGGTGGTGATGGCCGACGGGGATCTCTGGTATGGGTGGTCCATAAGGTCATGAAGAGTCGGAAGTGACTGAACAAGTCAACAACAACAACATGCCACATTTTTGCCACATCTTTAAAAACTAATTATTAAGCAATGAATACATTGTTTTAGCAACAAAGCTTTTGAGATTTGTCACTTGATTGAAAATGTAACAATATTGTGCTAATCCAAGAACTTCTGTGGATGGCATCTGAAAACCTCTGATTTCACTTTTCAAAATCTCTTTGAGCCTTATTTATAGTGTTTCCAAATACTTCTTGACATTGAGCCTGGAGTCACACGTTGATTGTTTTAAAATGCTATAGCTCTTACAAAAAGGCATTTTGTGTGTTATTAACAGTTTTAATGCTCTTGCAGTGGTAGATAGTACAGTTTCATAAGACTAGGCAATTTGTTCTATCTGGTATCTGAAAAGTTAACTTGATTTAGACAGCTAAAAGTAATTAAAACAGAGCAGAGAAGCTTAAATGTGTTTAATTATACGCTAGCGATTTGTGCACTGCTAGATAAGCATAACAATATCTCTTCCCCCCCTTTTTTTCATCAGGTGTGAATTACCTGTAAAGGAATAGAAGAAAGAATAATCTGGGAAACCGCTGTTATTATGGCAACCTTAAATCCTGCTGCTATTTCTCCATCAACCACACAGATACCACCAAGCCCCTTGCCTGCCGCCCCTCCTGGTACAGGAGCTTCAGTGGCGCGTGGTAAAAAGCGGCCCTCCAGTCCTGGGAATGGCAGCTCCAGTAAGAAAAAACGGTTAACAGTGTTAGGTGGTGGTGGAAGTTTCTTTCAGAGCACAAGTACAGAGACAACAAATGAAAATAAAACATTGAACACTGATTCCAGCACAGTACCAGTAGAGACTACTAGCAAACCATTGCCATTTAAAGTTCCAAGCTTTACTCATTCTGGCATTGGTGGAGCTGCAGCTGGTAAAAAGAACAGAACCTGGAAAAATCTGAAGCAAATCCTTGCATCAGAAAGGACGTTGCCATGGCAGGTTGATGATCCAAACTACTTCAGTATTGATGCTCCACCTTCTTTTAAACCACACAAAAAATACTCTGATATTTCAGGGCTTCCTGCAAATTATACTGATCCACAGAGCAAACTGCGATTTAGTACCACAGAGGAATTTGCCTACATTCGAATGCTTCCTTCAGATGTTGTTATGGGTTATCTCACTCTCAGAAAAGCAGCAAATGTTGTTACCTAAGGGGAAAAGCTTTCACCTGACTTGAAATGGTAGGAAACATATTTCCAGTGGCATTGTATGTGTGTGTGTATAATGTATGTGAATGTGTCCCTGGCAGCTTAATAAAAGGTGTATACAAAATACTCAACTGTTCCTTTCCCAATTCATTTAGTTTCTTCTATTTATATAGAATTTTTGAGATAATATTTCTTAACTTGCTTTGACAGTCACTGCTGTAACAGCATTGCTTTAACTTGTTCCCGTTGATATATTCATATGGCTAACAATATCCATGCAACTTTCTCTTCCTTTTGTACAATACCTCAACAGGGCAAGCTCACGTGTCATTAAAATGTCCACATTTTTAAAGTCTACAACAGGCAAGAGCTTACATAGGAGGCTGTCTTCAAGTTGAGGTTCTGTTACCTGCATGCAGTTGTGGTCTTTTCCACAGACTGGCTCCTGAGAAATTTCAATTACCTTTTCCTGTAGATACTCATGTATTAGCTGACCCCATGTATAAGTCATGGGCAAGTTTTGGGGCCAAAATTGCAGAATTTGATATGACCCATTCTGCAAAGGGGTAAATTACCACTACAGTGCCATTACAGGAGGTCAGGCATCTCTGGAAAGGAAAAGTTGTTCTTCCTCTTGGTCCTGCTGGAGAGAACAGAGACCTCAGGAGGCTAATGACCTTTACCTGCCAGCAAACACCTTTACAGGAAGTTGACAGGGTGACTTTCCTCAGGTTGTTTCCAAATGAAAGGCCTTAGAGAGGTCCCTCTTCCATCTAATTCAGCTGTTCAGTAATCCCCCCCCCCCCCCCAAATCCTGTTCCCTTTTGTAGGAGCTTTGGCCAATGCTGTGCAGCCTAGCTGGCTTGACTGACATTTTAGTGACTTTAAAAGAAATTTTAAAGTAGCATTACATGTGGTTACAAAGTAAAAAGCTAAGGGGAACAAACACCTGGCTGTGGTTGGGGCCAACACTGTCCAGGTGATTGATTTGGTGGTATGCTGGCAGAAGACAGGCCACATTGTGCAAGATGTCTGTTTTGTGTTGGCATCTTGATGTGCAGTTAGTATGTTTTCTCCACAGTTGAGTGCTCTGTGTATTTCCCCCCATTTTCCTCTCCTCATATAAAATTGGGTTATAAATAATACAAATAAGTTATATTTATCTTTTAGTTGTATATTGTGTCCATTTTATTGGAGTAATATCCAGTTTGTGAGTTGCTAGGGAAAATATGTCAAACTTTTGAAATTCTGAAAACACCCAAGAGAAACTAAAATAGGTTAGCTGCCCTCTAGGCCATGGTAAAAATGACTGTGCCAGGTCTTTTTCTTGCTGTTTTCTCAAAGACTGAAAGAGGTAAAAAGTAGTTTTAGCAACTTGTCTCCTCACCCCAGACATCATGGGGGAAGTTTCTGATTCCCAGCCCCTCTTTTTCTCAGAAAAATATCTGAAAGCCATTTTCCAGGCTGTGGAAGATATGTGCTGGCATTCAGGTGGGGAAATGCCCAGAAGGAGGTGCAGGTGGGGAGATTAACAACTTGGTGGCCAAAATTCAAGAAATATATCGACAAGCTGGAATCTGTCCCAGGAAGAGCAACCAAAATGATAAAAGGATTGGACTCCAAGCCCTCTAAACATGGTTATCAAGTCCCCTATCAACCTTCTTTTCTCCAGTTCCCTATTCCACTCATCATAGGGCTTGGATTCCTAACCTTTCTGGTTGCCCTTCTCTAGACATGTTGCAGCTTGTCAATATCCTTAAATTGTAGTTCACAGAACTGGTCAAAGTATTCCAGGTAAGGTCTGACCAAAACAGAATAATCTATTACTTCCCTTGATCCAGATACTATTCTCCTGTTGATAAAAACTCAGAATTTCATTGATGTTTTAAGCTGTTGCATAACACTATTGTTCATGTTCAGCTTGTGTTCTATTTAGACTCCTAGATCCCTTTCACATGGACTATTTTCAAGTCACATGCCACCCATCCTGTATTTTCCCATTTTTTGCCTAAGTGTAGTGCCATACATTTCTCCCTGTTGAAACACATTTTGTTAGTTTTGGCCCAGCTCTCTAATCTGTTAAGGTAATTTCAGTTTCTGATCCTGTACTTGAGAGTATTAACTATCCCTCCCAATTTTGTGTCAACTGCAAATTTGACCCTCTATTCCATTGTCCAAATCATTGATAAAAATGATGAATAGTACAAGGCCCAAGGCAGAACCCTGTAGCACCCCATTGGTCACTTCTTTTCAAGATGAAGAGGAATCATTGGTAAGCATCCTATGGGTTTGGTTAATTAACCAAATCCCAATCCAGCTAACAGTAGTATTTCCCAGCCTACATTTTGCTAGTTTATTTGAATGTCATGGGAAACCTTGTCAAAGGCCTTACTGAAATCAAGATATGTTACCATTGGAATTCAACCACACACTGCCCAACAGCCACATCCACAGCATTCCCTGCATCTAGCAAGTTCGTAACTTTATATTTAAAAAAAACCCTAGTCATCTGGCATGACTAGTTTTTGAGAAAGCTATGTTAACTTTTTGTGAGCATGGCATTGCTTTCTAAGTGCTCTCAAATTATTTGCTTGATGATCTGCTCCAGAATCTTTCCTGGTATCGATGTCAGGCTGACGAGGCAGTAATTATGTGGGTGTCCTTTCAAGAAAAAATTGTAATGTGCCATCTCATGCATCTGGTCCAGCAGTTCATGGAAATTATAGCATTCTATCTCTTCAAGTGGCAAGCTAGTTGTAAGGACACCAATCATCCACGACATTGTCTAATTCTTTTCTAAAATTTGCTGGTCTGTTGCCAGTGTTCTCTTATTATACCCTTGTACATTGTGAAAAACATTTCCTTTGTACTGAATTTTATTGGGTAACATGGATATTTTGAATTTGAGATAGAATCCAAACAAGGAACCTCTTTCTGAAACACCGGGGGGGGGGAGCAGGACAAGCTTGCTGCAAGACACGAAACAAAAAAAACAAATGGTTACTATTGTCCATTCAATAAAATTTATCTGTTCAGGTGCAAACAGGAAATCAGAGAGGGAGACAGAATGATTAAGAAGAAACCAAGTTAACTACTAGCTTTAGCAAGAAGAAGAAAAGATCGTGGTGAGAGGGGATTCATTGCTCAGGAGTATAAAGGGAACTGTGTGCCAGTCAGACAAGAAGAATCAGGAGCTGTGCTGTCTTGCTCTGTATCAGACTGGAAGCTTTCAGTGTCTTTTAAAGTTCATGACAGTGAATTAAAGTCAACTTTCTCCATAACAATTAGTCGTAGTTGCCAGTTTTATGCATATGCATAGAAGTAAGTCTTACTTAATTCAGTGAATGTATGTTACATTTGAACACACCTTAACCTCAAACTTTAGTCGATTACAATAAAATCTTGGTATCCACAAAAGATATGTTCTCAGATGGGCCACCGTTATTGGAAACCATAGATAATTCAGAATGCTATTTTAAAAAATGACTTCCAGCATATCATAGGGTTTGCGTTGGGGGACCTAGAGATTCCTAGAGTGATATCCTCTCTAGACATTTGCTAAGTCCCCCTGTGTGATTTCATGGTAACTTCCTGGGAAGCATGCCTAGAGAATCCATTTTCCCTCAGGCATGAGTGAGTGAAATTGCGGATATGAGTTTCTTGGTTGTGAGGGTCTTGCTGTACTCTCAGGCTTGCCCTACTTCATAGAATTGTTGTGAGGATTAAATAGGTTGGAACAGATGAATGTATGCTGCTTTGAAGTTATCGTAGGCAAAATGGAATATAGGATATAGGCTGACATCACATTTATGGTCCCGAATAACCAAACATGAACCCCAAAACCTATTTGTGCAGCCTAGCAGCACATGGACCAAAGCACAGGAGGGGGGCTGGGAAATTCAGCCTGCTCCTTGTCATCTGTTGTCTTGGTACAATCAGTTTTGGCAGGATCCCATGGGCTCTCTCCAGCTGCCTCTTCCCAATGCACCCTACAACTGCAATGGTGCTATGGGTATCGCTTCACAGCCCTCCAATCCCCATTGCCTCAGAAATGTTTCAATAAGGTGACTATCGGTTGTGCAAGAAGTATTCATAGGGGTGTCATATTCCTCTATCACAGTGGTTCTCAACCTGTGGGTCCTGAGATGTTTTGGCCTTCAACTCCCAGAAATCCTAACAGCTGGTAAACTGGCTGGGATTTCTGGGAGTTGTAGGCCAAAACACCTGGGGACCCACAGGTTGAGAACCACTGCTCTATGATGATGACAAAAAATTCCCAGCCTAATAAAATAATAATATTGACAAGGAGGAAGATACTCAGAATTGGTATTATACAGAAACCAAAACATGCTAAGAATTCAATGGATTAGGATATTTGACATAAATATTTACACAATTTATTAGAAGTCATACATTAGGAAAAGATGGACTGTACCAAATCACTTGCAGCCTGTTGGTCAAAAATCCAGAGATTTCTCCATGTTTAGCAATCATAGTGCAGAATGTATTACAATTTACTGACCATCGTTTAAAAAAAAAAAGATAATCTGTGACTGTGGATCAAGTACCTTCTTGCAGAGTAACTGGCTATTTTCTCTTGAAAAATGAATTAGAAGGCAATCTACTCAAAAATATAAACTCTGTAATTTATATATAAATATATATTGCTCCTCTTTCTTTTAACACCGCCTCCAATTTCTCACACTGGAGTCCTTTCACTCCCACAGTTCACCACAGAGCTCTTACAAGCATCCATTGGAAGTCAGTGGTTTTGCTGAGACAGTCAGCTGCACATAATTAGCTATTTAGTTTGCACCAAGCATCCCTCAGTTCGTACTAAAGAAAGAAGCACCTGTTATTTTTAGGAATATACAAATATTACCACATTCGTCCCTGCCCTTGACAGAAAAAACACATTAGGGACACTTAACAGCACATTATTTACAGTAACTATCCAAGTATGTGATTATTATTATTATTTTGCTGATTCACAGTAAACCAGCATTTGCAGTCACTAAAACTTGGACCAGTTCATTTTCTCGCCTCCGGCAACAGCATCGGAAAAACTGCAGGTGGTGCTCTGTGCCCAGTGTCATAAATAGTCTTTGGATCCACATCCCAGTAGAATCAATTCTTCTTGTGAAGAAACTTCATTTTATTTCCTGCATTGACAAAAGGGGATATATACACACACCTCAGTTACTAATATGCTTTTAAAACAGTCAGGCTTCAATATCCAATGGTTAAATGAGCTGTCAGAATTTAAAACACATCTGATGACCTATCTCTTCCAGCAGGCCTACCCAGCCAGTTTTAATAATAAATGTTAAACTTGCATCTTGTGTCTATTATATTTTAATCGTTGCTGTGTATTATAACATATGTATTTTATAGAAATAAGTTTTAATATGTTTATTTCTGTATTATTATTTCTCCTTGTGTCTCGAGGCAGGTTACAGTATATCGCTAAAAACACATAAGTGTTTTTAGCTATATTGTAACCTGCCTCGAGACACAAGGAGAGGCGGGTAAGAAATACAATTATTATTATTATTATTAATAGTAGTAGTAGTAGTAGTAGTAGTATTCCTATAAAGAGGCTGTGGCATCCAACCTGTCCATAGTATAATATAGTCCTATGTGAGCTTTCTCGCCAGAATTGAGCATCCACATAAACACCAACAGTGTATCTCCTAGATAACATTCTGCTAATTAATATAAAAATGATTTCAGTCTCATTTAGATCTTGAAAATAAAACTGAAACAAAAGGTGAAAGAAACTGTAGCATTATGCTTCATTTGATTTATGAATAAGTTATCTCCTTTTTTCCTCACCAATTGGCTATGCTGAAGGCTACACGTTCTCCATCACAGCTGTACTGCTTTTAAAACTCTATTTCTCAGTAACCAAATAGCACTGAGAATCTGAAGGGGTGAGAGAAGTTGTGTTACCTGCTGTGTGAAGACACACCTAGCACCTGGACATGATGGCTCCCAATAACCTGACTTTTGTGTTGTGAAAGGGTGGATACGAGACACCCTCCCCCCCAATGGGGGATGGAGATTCTCCACAGTAAAAAGTAATGGCTTGTTACATGCTCTTTCCCAGTTGCTGCTCCACCCAGCAACAAAGAAAAGAATTGACATGATTCAGAGTTAGAGAAAAAACACTGAGGACATACCCAATCCTGCAAGCCGCACCAGCCAACCCTCAAGAAAGTCCCCTTGAGAAACTAAAAACCAGTTACCCTGAGTGGCTGAAGGAAACTACACTGGACAAAAGAGGTGGAATTGTCATTTTAGTCTCTTTCAGATGGGCAAAAATTTCTGGATTTGTATCTGTTCAGAGCAGGTTGTTTTTTGTTTGGTGTGTATGTGCGTGTGTATTTATTTATTTATTTTAATGGCTAAGCAGCCTACCTCCTGTCTAAATTTATTTATCACATATTTATGTCACCAGTTATGACATTTCATGCTCAAGGCTGGGGCTGGATGCTTCTTAGACCTAGTCAGGCAGGGATTAACACACACTCCCAATTCCTTTGTTTCCATTTGTTTTGTGTTCCGGGCAATCTGATTACTCCCATGGATGTCAGTGTTGTATGGGGAAAGATGATAATGCAAGAGAACCCATCCTAAATCGCAGTTATTCACATTACAAAGCAGGGCATGGGAAAGAGGTGCAACCCTGGCATATTTATGGCAAGTCTGGATGCAGTTTACCTATTTTAATTATTAAAGTATTTACACACTGCCCTGCATCAAGAGATCTTGGGGCATCTTAGAAACAGCATGGAAACAGGATAAATTTAAATAAGCAATGTTATGGAGTCCAGAATCAAGAAACACAATAAACTTGTATTTATCTGCTAATGTCTATCTTGTGGAGCACTCCCATGTTATGTTTTCCTTGGGGCCTATGAGAGTTTTGGCTTGGGGATAATGACATCAAGAGAGAAGGAAAACTGGATGTACAGCAGAAGCTGGCAACAATAAATGGATTCCAAATAGACATGTCCCTTGTCTGATTCATACTTTTGGGTTAGTGCTGGCTTTTCTTGAACCTCATATGTGAGCATCACAGGCAGCAAAAGCTAGACAGTACCACCCTCCAAGCCTGAAAAGTAGATAATAGATCATATTGACAGAATCTTGGGGAAAAGGGAAGGGATGTCTATGTTCTGTGTTTTGAGCACATCAGCAAAGACTCACAAAATCTCCATATATAACTATGTGTGCACATGTAGGAGTAACATTTTGAAATGCATCTCTCACTTTATGTGCATTATTTTCTTTTGGAATGCCAGGCCAAATTACTTTCCCAATATACTATAAAGTGGGCAGATCTTTCAAATGCACTGAAAGCAAATGCCCTGTATTTAGGAGTTAAGAAAAGACTCAAGAAAAAGACTCTAGGTCAGTTTTATAGAAGCATCATTTTCAGCATTTCATTTGACCAACAGAAGTCCCTTTAACATATGTAATTGTTTTACATGTTTAATTATGAAACAAAATGTGTTACTAACACTATTAAACAGTTCAGCAATTTCCTAGAAATATAAGTTCTATTTTTAATAAATTCCTGTTCCAGTTCTATAGTTGGCAGATGCTTACAAGGAAGAGGGTTATAGGAACAGGATGTGCTTTAAACCATTTTCTCAATATGTGCACAAGCCGAGATTCAAGTATATCAAAGCCAAATTCCTTACCAAGACCTCGTAGAAATTTATTTACACCACTTTGTTCAGTGTCTGGAAGCTCTTCCAAATATTGTTCAACCCGCTGTTCAAAAAGGCCTATGGGAATTGGATGAAAGAGAAATCATTGATTTTTTTCCCTCAAGTGACAGGAAAACCAAGTGTTGGTGCTTTTGTCTTTGTCAGGGCCAGAGAACTGGTTTTTAAAGAGCATTTTTCAATATTGCTTTTAGAAGATAATTTCCAAATGAAGTTCCATCCTTTATAGAGGACTGTGCCTTCCTACATCCTGGCCATCAACTTTTTCTCCCTTCCACATGTTTTCTTACACTCTTAACACAATCAGGCACATTCAAACAATGTCTTAGGAGAATAATTTCTCTTTGAATTCACCATAATACCCATAATGGAATAAGAAGTCTTATTAGCTACAGGATGTGGCCAATAAAAGTGAAGCATGGAAGCAATGTAAATTATTTGATATCACAATCCACAAAGAACATTTCCCTGTGTACTGAATGAACTGAATGAAACTCCAATAAATGAACTGAATGAAACTCCAATAAAACCTAATTTCTGAAGCCCCAATACCATGAAACTCAAGACATCTGAAATGTGGCACTGATATTCAGGTGGTATGATAACCCTGTAATTAAAACTGATTTGTTTTAATTATTTAAAGTCTGACTGTATTTTGCACTACAATTGTACATCATTACATAGCAGAGAGAAACTTGCAGGAAGGCAAACAATATTCATTTCTCCAGAGGACCTCTAAGGGATTACACAACTCCTCAAACACTTAAGAAAGAGAAGGGACGTAAGCAGGGAAAGGGATGAACATACATCAGGATAAAGAGAATGATCACTGAGGAAGAAAGGGAAGAGAGACAAAGCATATAGAAAGAGAAATAATATTAGGGTAGAATGAGAATTTCCTAAATTTGCAAAGCTGGAGACTTCTGCTACTAATATAATGTATTTTGTAAGTCCTAGATCTTATGAGTGGCACAGTACTAAAGTACCTTACTGCAAATCAAGACAGGTTGCAATGAAGTTTGAACAAGACAACTAACAAGCACCAATTCTGCTGATGCGCTAAATGCTTTCTGCCATGATAGAGCTTGGAAAAGTTACGTTTCAGACTATGACTCCATAGAATCATAGAATCATAGAGTTGGAAGAGACCTCGTGGGCCATCCAGTCCAACCTCCTGCCAAGAAGCAGGAGAATCGCATTCAAAGCACCCCCAACAGATGGCCATCCAGCCTGTTTCAAAGCCTCCATAGAAGGAGACTCCACCACACTTTGGGGTAGAGAGTTACACTGCCGAACAACTCTCACAGTCAGGAAGTTCTTCCTAATGTTCAGGTGGAATCTCCTTTCCTGTAGTTTGAAGCCATTGTTCCACGTCCTAGTCTCCAGGGCAGCAGAAAACAATCTTGCTCCCTCCTTCCTATAACTCCAGGAATCTTCTAACCAGCATGATAGCTTTTCCAGGCTCTGATCCTCAGCTAAATATATATAGTTTACCCTCTATATTCAAATATTATGCATCCATGGATTTAACAAACCATGTCTTGAAAATGTTCAAAGGGGGGGGGGGGGTGTCCAAAAAGTCAATCTTAATTTTGCCATGTGCCAAGTACTGTGCTGATTTGTAGGCATACTTCTACCATTTCTTAGATCCTTGGATTCTTCCTGTCACTCATTTAACTTGTTTGCCATTTTATGTAAAGGCACAATTTTCTTACACCATTTCCTACACTATTGGAAATAATGAGTATCCATGGATTTTGGTATCCACGGAGGGCTCCTGAAATCAAACCCCAGCAAATACTGATATATTTGTTAACAAAATTCATTTATCTTCTATGGTTTAATTAATGGACCTTACCTTTTGCCCTACATTTTCTCAGTTCTCTATCTTGAATAAACCCAGCAAACATCTGAGATTCCATGAAAACTTCTAGAAAACGACGGATGCTCTTTGAAGCTACGGATTTACGGAAGGCCTCTCTCTGGAAGACTCTCTCTGCCTTTTCATTTTGAGTTAGGAAAAGGGAATAATGTCCAATTGTCTCCACAAAAAAACGGATAAAAACTTCTGACACTAATCCATTCAAGGTATTGCATTCTGCAAGAAAAAATAAACATTGCACAGCTAAGAATGTATAGTAAAAATGGACATGCATTTTCCTGATTCCTCCATTTGCCCTTGCCAGTTTCCTTTTCCTATTTATTTATTTATTATTTGAACTTATATGCCGCCACTCCCCTAGGGCTTGGAGCAGTTTACAAGAACAGACTAACCCCATATAAGCAATACTTCTGTTCATCATTAGACTATAAGTTTTATATTTAATTCAACGTATTAAGCTCAAGCCTTAGGTCCACATATTCTATCCTCACACTGATCTTCTCTTTTCCCTTCATGGTCTCCCACAACTGATGTTTTCCTGTATCAATTAATTACAGTCTCTTTTTGTATTTGAACTGGGAAAGTATGAATGCCAGAATTAGAATAAACCAAGATCTTAAACTGCAAACTGCAGATGGATTCGGAGTCCTTTCTGTTCCTTTCAGAGCCAAACAAAAATGCAATGGATACATTCTATATGACTCAGACAAGTTACAATTCACTAATTCAAAATGTTTTCTATAATAATCTGATTTTCACCACTTTTGGGTGAAAAAATGCAACATCAGATTAATTAGTGGTAGCAAAGTTAATGAAGGTGTCACAAAAATGAATGAGTTCTATTCTATTGCTCTAGAACAGGTCTACATAACCTGTGGCCTGCCAGGTGTTTTGGACTTCAGCTCCCAGAAATCCTGACCATTGGACAAGCTGGCTAGAGCTTCTGGGAGTCCCAAACACCTGGGAGGGCATAGGTTGTGCTTTAGTCCTACAAAGGCGTATTTGATAAGAATAACACAATATCACTGATCTTCATGCAACAAATTGCAATGCCAAATTTAACAAAGCCTGATGTAATCAGGTGATTTCCTAGGAAAGCTACAATGATTGAGATCAACATAGCAAACTTCTCTGAATGTGATGCAGTTTCTTCCTTACCTCCTTTGGGAACAGCACAGTATCCAATCTTGTAATTATATTATCACAGACTAACAAAATAACTGTGTCATAAACATACAAATGGAAGTCACTTCCAAGAATGACTGGCTTATCGTTCTAACTTAATTCAATGATTAGTAATGTGTGATAACAGACGTGCAAAACTGAGGATAATATGATTTTTTTAAAGTGTCTGCTGGTTTTATAGAAATGTGGCATTCTAAACTGAAAAATAACCTCAGATTGGCCTCACCACATACAGGTCTGTTTTCCATGACTTGCTTTGATGTTTTGATTTTGTAATATGTGACTGACTAATATGTAATTAAGGTTTCTAACAGACTTTCAAAATTATTTATTTATTTTATTTTATTTAAAACATTTATATTCTGCCCTTCTCACCCCAATGGGGACTCAGGGCGGAGCACAGTATATATACAGCAAACATTCAATACCGGGACAAGAATTCATTATATATATTCATATATATTGGCCTGGTAAAGTTTCCTATCGCTGCTTTATTGCACTGTCCCAAAAGCTTGGTCCCACAGCCAAGTTTTTACCATCTTTCTGAAGGACAGGAGGGAGGGGAGCGATCTGATCTCACCAGGAAGGGAGTTCCATAGCCGGGGGGCATCACCGAGAAGGCTCTCTCTCTCATCCCAACAAATCGTGCCTGTGACAATGGTGGGACGGAGAGCAGGGCCTTCCCGGAGGATCTTAACAGAACACATACAAATCTATTCAAAAGCACTAAAGGGGATCACACCAGAACAATATTGTCTATACTTAATCAAAACTGAGTAACAACTGAACTGATTTTAAAAAATCAAATTTGTGAAAGAACTCTGTGTGATATGATATTTTTATTATGTTTTTCAAATTCAGCACTCAAAAAATCCTTACGATCAACTACAATGTTGAAAAAAATAATATTTTCATCACAGGCTCTGTAATGTTTTGAGAAGACGCATCATCATTAAATACTCCCACAAATTGTTTGCTGTTGTGAAATGCATTTTTAATGTTGAAAAATATACCTTCTGCAGTAAGTTGATCCATTTAAACACAACATTCCTGCTTGCCTCTTTAGCTTCCAAGGACATGTTATTCCCCATTTTGCAAATACTTTTCTACAAACACAATTTGTTCCCAATCTCTCTTACCCTCATCTGATTCACTGTCTGAATCCTGGTTTATTAAATCATTCTTCCTCTCTAGAGCCTGCTCCAGAGCTGCTTGCAGTTTTCTAGGCAAAAGTGTGTCTTCATCATCCATCTAAAAGAGCGAAAATAGCACCAGGGCTTCAATCTTCCAAGTTTAATTTTAGACATTAAAATTTTAGGAATTTAGTATGAAAGCATATTGCAAATGTAATATGAAACACTTAAGTGACTGTGGGAATGATTTATTTTCAGATGCAGTTTTAAAACAATTTTAGTGAGAACAGAAACTGGATTGATAGCAAACACAGGAAAGACTGCTCTGCCACTGTTTGGTAGGGCATTAACCCCAATCAGTCCACATGCTCCATGCATGAGAGAAATGGGACCAATTCACAATTTCCTAAGAGGGAATCAATTATTCAGTAATTAGTAAGGTTTAATAGACCTATTCCAATCCTCTCACCCACTGCATCTCCTTTATCTCCCAGTCCAAGCACAAGAAGATGCTGCTTCAAAGCGCTTCCCATTGTACAAAGGAAGGACAGCAAAGCAGGTGCTCTCAAAGGAATAAATATATAAAACAATGAATTTTTTAGGAGCAGGTGACCTAGGAGCCAAGTACGGTATCTTTTCTAAGGCAAACACGTCTCAAGGAACAGAACTTTCAAGACTGGTTAAATCCAACAATATGTAGTACACTCGTGGTTATTAAATAAAAGTTCTGTGCGACAGGCCGATGAAAGTGCAGCAAAGGTGCCCATGCATTGAACTGGAAACTGAGCTGAGGGAAACTGACAGCACCAGGATTTATTCAGTTACATTCAAGCAATACAGTCATACATGCAGGAGTGAATTACAAACAAATGACTGTTCTTCTATGCTGGCAGAAAATCTTGCAAAGAGAGAAGTGGAACATCCCATGATGAGGACGAACTCTTTTCAGCCTGAGGAGTGCATTCCACTCTAGTTGGGTTCTCAGGGATCACATTCAGTGGTAGGCAGGGCCAAAGTCAAAAGGGTAAGAGTACAAAAAACAGGATATTTTAGCTAAAATTCTTACCAGTAACTAAGCCTAAGGAAAAGTATATCAAACATTTAGCATACAGGAAAACATATACGACAAACAAGAAACTGCCAAATACTGATTTCACGGGGAAGAGTGCATAGTTCATGGAGAAAGCCCAGAGGGCTGAATTCAGTTCCCAAAATTAGATGTGATCCCAGGGCTTGAGTTTCCCCACCACAGTCCTAAGGCATAAATTAGCTTGACGTCTTATCAATATCCTTCACTTCTTCATGGAAGAGTGATAATTTATGAACTACCACCACCACTACCAGATTTTCTCGTTCTTAAGTGATAGTGTAACTCTTACTGCTCTTTTTTGTAATTAGAAATGAAGAGTTTAACCACTTCGAAGCACTAAAAAAAGTGCAGTACCTGTCTAATGAAACGATCTGATCCAAGGTTCACCATCAATGCCTAAAGAGAATCAACACAGAGAAGTTTTATATGGATGCCTGGAAACATTTATAATCATTTTACTTTCTGGAAAGGAAAGTGCTACATACAAAACTTGCCTAACAATATACCTCCAAAATATGATCCTGTGGACCCAAGAGTTTGATTCTGCACCATTAATGTACAAAAAGGAAAATGGTTCTGCAGTGTATGGAATGTCCAGCACATTAACTTAACACAAAAGGTGTTTCATACCCAGCAGTGAAAACTGAAGACAGAACTCAGAAAAGAAATGAAGCTTAATCCAGTGCCATAACAACAACAACAACAACAACAACAACAACAATTACTACTACTACTACTACTTTATTCTTATATCATGCCACCATCTCCCCCAAGGGATTTGAGGCGGTTTACAGATGGCATAAACAAACATGAAAATGAAGCACAATATAAAATACAACAAAATAAAACACATATGCATATAAAAACATTAACTCATGATCCATGGCCATCTTATTCCTAGCTGATGGCAAACTCTCATCATGAGATTCCAATTCCATTTATAGTCAATCAGAAATGGTTTGCTTCAAATCAAGGAGTCCCACTTGGGAATATCATCTTGTTAATACCATTTCTTATCCCTGCCCTCCAAATTCAGCAGCATCACATCCATTAGGTTGGTTGTATGTTTATTTGAATGTGGAGAAGGAAGGAGGAGGACTAAAGCATCAACATACTTTTCAGTATGTTGCAAGTAAAGATTTCGCTACATAGATCTTTTGAAACTATTGTAAAATTCTCTCCTGAAAATTTCCTCAAGTACACATGTAGACCATATTATTGGCTCTAATCTTACCTCTTCTACTGGTAACTCCTTTAGTTTGGGCAATGAGCTGGACAGCAATCCAACAAGAAATGGCGTAGGACAGCACACAATGTCAATCATGGAAGAAGGGAGAACAGGAATGAAGGTATGTTGCCAGGAGAAGGGATACAGCAAAGCCACCACGGCATGAGAGCAACTGGAGAGGGTGCTGAGAAGAAAAGAAGAGACACTATTTTTTGTACATTTCTTATTTTTAGAAGAAAAAAACGAACCCTTCCTATTCCCACTATTCTCATGATGCAATGGTATTCAGCCAGAGATCTGTCAAATATAATTGGGTTTCCAAGCACTAACAATGAAATTGCCACTTTTGTTCCTTCCACTGTCCTCCTAGCAGGCAATTCTCCCCAATCTGACCACCCACGAAGAGGGACTGATTATTATTATTATTATTATTATTATTATTATTATTATTATTATTATTATCCTGCCTTTCTCCCCATGGGGACTCAAGGCGGCAAACAATTAAAATAGCCATTAAAAATCACAATCATCCCCCTCCCTCAAAATCCCTGTGCTTGTTGAATTTGTAATAGCCATACATGAATTCTGTCAAAGCCACTGGCCAAAGCAAGCCTATTCAAAAAGCTATTACTAGCCTAGCAGCAGCTTTCTTTCTGAAATTGCATATCAGCTCTTCTTGCAATCACTTTCAACTAGGCTCCTTGTTGTACATCTCTGCTTACATTTTTCAAACAATATGTAAGCCCTGTCTTTATGTATCAAAGCAATTTGGAAATGGGAACACCAAAATGCTTGATGTCCTTGACCTTGGTCAAATGCAAATCTCTTTGTTAGCACTCATTCTCAGATTCCTCCATTCTGACGGATGTAGCAAAAAATAGTTACACTTTCTCTCATTTCTAAAGAAAGGCACTCCTTACATTCAATTACACTTATTTAAGTTTTGTGGGAAATTCCCTGCTAAGTCTTTTAACTAGAGCGCTTCCTAGTACACTCCTTTTCTGTTATGCAACAGTGAAATGGCTTCTTCACCCATTCAGGTGTCGTTAAACAAAATGAAGAAAGGGGCTTTTAAGAGCTACCTTTTTGACTTGTGGGACATCAGATTAAATATTAATTCTGCTGTAATTCAGACTAATGATGAGAATTAGAAAATGATGCAATCTGTTTTATCTTCCCAAACTTCAGTGGTAAGCAAGGCTCTGTGGGACAAGATGAAATGTCCATGTTGTCATCTAACAGAGTACTTCCATGCTTCTAATTTACCCGAAGAGCATATGCCTCGTGTGGAGCAAGATACCAGCATGCTGGGCATGCCAAAATCTGAGGTTAACTGTACAAAGGCTTGTGCTGATCCAATCCATTCAGCATAATGAATGAGGCAAGTAGGAGAAGAAAGCAGGCAATCATTGGAAGCTACGGTTTCAACTACTTTTATAATGTCCTGCACAAGTCCATATAATGAATTATAGCAACTTTGGGACACTGAATGTTAACTTACCCCCACAATTGCAACAACAGAACATTCAAAGCATTCTTTGTGGAACTTTCCTTGGGAAAAGAAAATCAAAAACTAATGCTAGAGCAGAAGGCATTTTCTAGTGGTGTTGATCAGGGTCACTTTTATGGAGCCTTCACCTGTTTCTTTTGGGTGCTATTAAATTTCTAGTTATCCCCAATAAAACTCTAAAAGATTTTGGCTGGGAACACCTACAGGATCCTCTCCTCACATAGGGAAACTGGAAGAGAGACATTGTATCTCCTTCTACATCCCATGCACAGTTCTAAAGATATTGTGAAAGATCTCTACCAGTGATGGTACCAACATTCTGGAAGTCCTAGCTTGGAAGATCTATTTTCTCCCCTGGATAAGTTTGGAAGCTACTTTTGTGAATGAAAACTCTCCAGCCAGCATGGTTAATGGATTGATGATTTTTTTTTGGGGGGGGGGGGGGGGGAGTCCAAAACTATAACTCCCAAATACTACTCTCTCACCCGGTGGGACTTTGCAGGACAGTGTAAACTTTGTTCATTCGACTTAAAAAATTAATTTTGCTATTCTTTAGTCAAGCATTTTTTATAAGATGAATAAGCTTCCTTCTTGCCAGTCTGATGGCAAGCAATGCAATGTTTCTGGTGATGGATCTTGCTTAACTTGAATGGGTGCTGTATTTTTAACTGTGTATTTTTTGATTTTATTCATTTTATATTTCAATTTGAAGTTGTACAATTTTATTGTGAGTTGCCTTGAGTCTCATTTTAGGAAGAAAAGGGTGTGCATTGACTAAGTAAATAAGTTTAATTAAATCCATGTGGGAGTGGCAATCTACCAATCCCTAACTGAATGTAAAGGTGTTATCTTTGTCCAAAGGTGCTTTCTCATCTAGAGTAAGGAGCAGGGTTGTAGCCAGAAATTTTTTTCGGGAGGGGTTGAAAATTTTGGGGGGGAGGTTGAAAATTTCAGAGTGGGGTTGAAACCTGCCTCCTAGCTCACGCTGAAGCAAAGAGCACAGCAGGGGGCAGAGCAGCCTTCAATAGCCTGCAGCTACGCCCCTGTCAACCACCTCTACCAAGTCTGGCCTCCTTAATGAGAGCATTCAACACACCCCAACTTGGTTGCTTCACTACATCGGCTATTGCTGCAAGTAATGACAGTGAACAAATTGTCAAAATTTGCTTGAGATAGTGCTTGCAGTTCTGGAGGGACTCTTAATTTTTTTCATCTCATAGACTTAGCATGGGGATTTGGTTAAAATTCATGAGTAAACCAGTTTTTTTTAACCTGAAAATTTTTTGGGGGGGGGGAGTTGAACCCCTAATCCCCCCCTCGCTACAGGCCTGGTAAGAAGTCCTCCTCCCAGTGAAATGAACTAAAGAGCACAGGGAGCTTTATGCCAAAGGCAACTGACTTGCCTGACCTTGCAGACAAAAAGATTAATGCAAGGTCCTTATCACACTTTTCCCATGAAGTACTGCTGTGCAACATGTGACGTGTTGGCCTTGTCTTTGAATAGAGTGTATTTAAAAAAATCGGATTCAGGGAAAGAAAAATGCTGGGTATGCTTCAGACTTCCAAGCGTAATTCTTTATCTTGCTTTTAATGCCTGTGGAAGTTTCAAGTGTAAGTGATCAACTAAATAAAGAAAATGGAACTAAAATGAGAGAGCTATGTTAATCTAAAATCAGGAGCACAAACATAGTGCTCAGTACATATCATTTGCTTTCTACAGAACGTCCTTTTGCAGCATGCCCTCCTCTTGAGGGAAGGACTGTGATGTAAATCCTCTCTCATGCACAGTTCCCACACTTTAGGGAGCTCTCTGCTTTCGGCCCTCTTGCTCCCTCCCTCACTTGCCTATACCAATTGTCCAGTGCATTATGTCACTGGGAGATAGCTAAATAGTAACAAGAGTTCAAAGGCAGGAATCCACACATGACTTTCTTTTCAGATTTGCGCTTCCAGAGAAGAAGCCATATGAGACTGCTGTAGCAAAACAAGCAAACATTAGCACCTTAAAGATTAACAGATTTATTGTGCCATAAGCTTTAATCAAGCAGGAAGCAGGCTCTAGTGACTGGAAGTTTATGGCACAACAAATTTGTTGCTACAAGACACCCTGTTCTTTTGGTTCCAGTGTAATAAGAAAAAAACGTTAACTTAAATTACACTCTGAGTAATTTTAAAGGTGGTTTCATACAAATCCAATGTGTTTGATCTTCTTGCCTTCTAAACTGTTAGCAGTGTACAATTAACTTGGAAAAGTTACTTTGAGGGACTAAACTTCCAAAATCCTCCAGTCAACATAGCCAGGTTACTGGGAATTATAATCCACAAAAGTAACCTTTCCAAACTCTGGTACTAAACCAGGAAGAAGCGAAGAAGGCCCTTCCTGTTTTAAACAGAAAACAAGGATCATGTTCAAACATTTACACATTATAGGATAAGAAGTATAATGGGGGGTATTAGACCCTCCATTAGCCTGACCTAATTAATCTAACCCAATTGATCTCAACTTTCCTAATGCCACGACCCCTTAATACAGTTCCTCATGTTGTGATGTCTCAGGCTTAAAATATTTTAGTTACTACTTCATAACTGTAATTTTGCTACTGTTATGAATCATGATGTAAATATATGATATGCTGAATGAATTTTCATTCACTAGACCAAATTTGGCACAAATACCCAATATGCCTAAATTTGAATACTGGTGGGGTTGGGGGGATTGATTTTGTCATTTGAGAGTTGTAGTTGCTGGGATTTACAGTTAACGTTACAGTTAACATACAATCACAGAGCATTCTGAACTCCACCAACAATGGAATTGAACCGAACTTGGCACACAGATCTCCATGACCAACAGAAAATGCTGGAAGAGTTTAGTGGGCATTGACCTTCAGTTTTGGAGTTGTAGTTTGCCTACATCCAGAGAGCACTGTGGACTCAAACAATGATGGATCTGGACCAAACTTGGCACAAATACTCAATTTGCCCAAATGTGAACACTGGTGGAGTTTGGGGAAAATAGACCTTGACATTTGGGAGTTGTAATTGCTGGGATTTATAGTTCACCTACAATCAAAGAGCATTCTGAACCCCATAGAATTGGGCCAAACTTCCCACACAGAACCCACATGACCAACAGAAAATACTGTGTTTTCTGATTATATTTGGCAACCCCTCTGACACCCTCTCACAACCCCCCCCCCCTCAGAGGTCCTGACCCCCAGATTGAGAAACACTGATCTAACCACTACATACTTCTATTGTATGTATCATATATGATATAAGTATCAAGAGGAAGGCACAGCTCAGCTGACATTTACAAATTGAGATGTGGCTGCAGCCTAAAATGCCACAGTGGATCACAGATCCCTTTACAGCAAGAGCGCTTGAGGGGGTGGGGGGGTAGTCTGAGACTGCACCAAAATCTTAACTAGTAATCTCAGCAGGTCATCACAAGACAATTGCCATTCTGCAAACCACCACAGACCTTTCAAAAATGGATGGAACTGTAGATATAAAATTATGGACTGGGTTTGTGATGACCTGCTCCCACTGCCTCTTTACCACAAGCACATTTTGGACTCCAGTTGAAAATAGTGGTTTCCAAGGAGGCTCATTAGGAGCACTAACAGAGCTCAAACATGAGGCTTTTACATGAAAACACAAGGCACTGCTATAAGCAGGGGTTTGTTTAGGTTTAGGAAGATGCCAACTTAGATTATTATAACCCACAAGGCATTTAAAGTGTAGTAACACGCTCTGAAGACAGTATAAACTTATAAACAGACACAAATATTCATTCTGGTCTCATGGGACAAAAGGACTGAAAACTTGGAACCCAAATCCCCACTTTCTTCCAAAAGGAGCAATTACATGCCATGCATATTTTGTTACATTTCTTCCCTTTAAAATATCAAAATAAGACCACGAGACCATTTCTAGCCATGAAAGAAAAATGCCTGTTCAAAAATGCTGACTGAAAACTGTAACCATGGGAAAAGGCCTCCAGATACAGAATATTCTAAAACTCTGGGACAATGGTTATATTCAGAGTAAAAAGAAGCAAGTGCCCAGATTAAAAGCAAAACCACAGCAAAAGATGATGTGGCAGGATTTACAGGAAAAGCAGATGATGAAGAATATTTAAAGGATAATGTTTCAGGAAGAGAAAACAAACAGGGTAGGAAGGTGACTTCAAACCATCAGCAACCATACCATTATATTACAATTCTAACAGAGCAAAACAAACACACAGATTAAAAAGAAAAAGAAAAAAAACACACAGATTTTGCAAAATTTGGTAGTTGGTTAAATGTCCTTTGACCAGTATCTGGCCACTTGGAGTGCCTCTGGTGTTGCCGCAAGAAGGTCCTCCATTGTGCATGTGGCAGGGCTCAGGTTGCATTGCAGCAGGTGGTCAGTGGTTTGTTCTTCTCCGCACTCGCATGCCGAGGATTCCACTTTGTAGCCCCATTTCTTAAGATTGGCTCTGCATCTCGTGGTGCCAGTGCGCAATCTGTTCAGCGCCTTCCAAGTCGCCCAGTCTTCTGTGTGCCCAGGGGGGAGTCTCTCATCTGGTATCACCCATGAATTGAGGTGCTGGGTTTGGGCCTGCCACTTTTGACTCTCGCTTGCTGGGGTGTTCCAGCGAGTGTCTCTGTAGATCTTAGAAAACTATTTCTTGATTTAAGTCGTTGACGTGCTGGCTGATACCCAAACAGGGGATGAGCTGGAGATGTCACTGCCTTGGTCCTTTCACTATTGGCTGCTAACTTCCCGGCGGATGTCAGGTGGTGCAATACCGGCTAAGCAGTGTAATTTCTCCAGTGGTGTAGGGCGCAGACACCCGTGATAATGCGGCATGTCTCATTAAGAGCCACATCCACTGTTTTAAAGTGGTGAGATGTGTTCCACACTGGGCATGCAGACTCAGCAGCAGAGTAGCATAGCGCAAGGGCAGATGTCTTCACTGTGTCTGGTTGTGATCCCCAGGTTGTGCCAGTCAGCTTTCGTATGATGTTGTTTCTAGCACCCACTTTTTGCTTGATGTTCAGGCAGTGCTTCTTGTAGGTCAGAGCATGGTCCAAAGTGACTCCCAGGTATTTGGGTGTGTTGCAATGCTCCAGTGGGATTCCTTCCCAGGTAATCCTCAGAGCTTGGGATGCTTGTCTGTTCTTAAGGTGAAAGGTGCATGTCTGTGTTTTAGATGGATTAGGGATAAGTTGGTTTTCCCTGTAATAGGCAGTAAGAGCACCTAGAGCTTCGGAGAGCTTCTGTTCTACCATCTCAAAGCTCCCTGCTTGAGTGGTAATGGCACGATCACCAGCATAGATGAAACTCTCTGTCCCTTCATTGCAATTTATTGAAACAGTTGTGGATCCGGGTGGGAGGCAGATTGTGTTGGATAATACAGAACTTTGGATGAGCGAAGGTTGGATAAGTGAGATTCTACTGTAAGTAATGTGACAAATAACTCTTGAGTAGCTAAATACCAAGATTTCTTCCAAGTCTACATGGATAGGATTGTATTGCCCTGTCAAAGGCATTGACTGTAGCCTACCAATCCCTACAATATGTTTGTTTATTTTGCCATTAAGAAATTAATCCTCTTCTTCTGTGGGAGTAGATGGCTTTGGTCAAAATCTAAGACTACACAGCTGGCCAAAGCAGTCTTGCTTCAATTTGTATGTTGACTTGATTGCAGCAAGTGAGTTTTGTGACAAACTGCAGAACACCAATGATAAAGCTGGAGTTGGGGCACAAAGTGCGAAGGAAGTGCATACCTTCCACATCACATCAGCCAATTATCAACTATCCTCTTGTACAAAGCTGCTCTAACCATGGTGACAACATAAAGAATAACTCTTAACTCCTTCTTTTGATCAAGTATTTTTCCCATGAATCCAAGCCAATATAAACTTCATGTTGAAAAGACATGAGTCATGTTTAAGGATTATCTTATTGGGCACTGAACACAAAAGAACAAGAACAAAATCAAATGTGTAGAGATATTTAGCAAGAAATGTAGGTTTGGAATATAGTATTTTTACTTTCTTTTCCAGATTACCATATAAATGAAATTCTTCAGTATATTATATAAGCTGTTGATAATTGTCTGAACAGGTTTCCCTCACTTACCTGCAATGACATTTAAAGGTAATTGTGTCCTTAACAAGGGGCAGGATCAAAATAATTCATGAAGCAATGATTAGCTCTTATTACCAGTCTCTTTATCATAAAGTCCACTATGACAAACATAGAAATATGTCAGTCCAGTGATATTTCAAAGGAATTTAATGCAGTATTCCCCACCCAGGCAATGGCGAAGGAGGGGAGCAAAGTCTAGTTTGAACAGTGTTTCTCAGATATGAACCACTGACATCAACTGGAAAAGTACCATGGCACCAAACTGCCAATCAGGAATACTTAGATCACTTATAACGAGTGATGTCACCATTCTTCGTAAACTGTAAAGGGACTGGTAGAGATTCTACACATGATCTCCCACAAAGATCTTGCTGCGCACCCCCCCCCCCTTGAAATGCAGTACCATCTCCCAAAAGGACTCCTGTGGAAATGTTACAATTAATGGCATCCTTCCTACTTCACAAGGGTTGCCACAGAATGCAATAAATGGAAAAAACCTTCTGACAAATGGACTTTTTTGTGACCCAATGAATGTTCCAACACAAACAACATACCAAACACACACTAATTTACCAATTTATATATGTCACTTATTTACAAATTGTGACAGGAACAGTGCAGCATGTGGTTGCACAAATGTCATGCAATTGACATGTATTGGCTCCTGTCAACAATACGTCTGTCTCAATTTGTGCTCAGAAACGTTTCTGTCTGTTGAAGAAAATATTTAAAGTCCAACAGTCCACTACTGATGTACTTCTGGAACAAGAAGCTTTAATTCAGAGTTAATTGTTTCCCTTGCCTATAAATATGTCTATAATATCAAACAAGCACTATAGCAAAAGGTCACAACCCAAGTAATTTAGTTTTACACTCTGGAATGTCAATGGTCAATCTATGGTGCAACAGTTGTAGTAGGATTGCAAGGACTATCACAAGTTATTAGTTACTGATTATTAAAAAACAAGTTGAGGAAAGCCTAAAATAAACATGGCCTTTTTATTTAAAAAAATCAGAGAGGAGGCAAAACTACTGAAAGCAAATTAAAGGTGCCTTAATGAAAATCTGAATGTTTGTGAGCCTCTTCACAAACTGCTTCATACCACTAGATATTGCAGTCTTTATGTAGTTCTTCATTGGCTTACCTGAGTTTTTCTGCTATGAAGATCACTCGTCGTTCCAGTAAGAGGGAAGCAAAGATTCTGATGATCTGTCGAATACTCAGGCATTTGAAAAGGCACTCAAAGTCCACATGCTCCAGGCGAGAATCCATCGGTCGCCGAAGCTCTATGATCTGAATGCATTTCCACAAACATAAATCATGCTCCAACTGGACCAGTTTTCATGTGAATGTTAGGCTTATTATTATTATTATTATTATTATTACTCTGTTTTTGAGGTGATTGTGGTGGCATTTCAGTGGTCCGTGCACCCTAGTGGCAGAAAACTGGCCCCCAAACCTGCCACAGTTGCCACCCTCAACATATACCATATTATGTGCATTTTTTCTTAACCAGTCTTGGCATGAATTTGATGTATAAACTGGCTTATGAAGCTGAATTTACAAGCTGAAACAGACATTTGATTCATGATTTATACATTATGACACAAAAAGAGTTAGCTTACATCTTACTAATCCAGGTATTATCTCTCGCTTTGCTAGTTGGTTTCTATAACAAAAGATCTCTCAATCTGAATGAGAGAGACATATGGTTCAGAGTTCCTGTAGCTTTTTAATGACCAAATATAGGCAGAAGTGCAAAATTATTCTGCAGTACAGAACTATCTAAGCACAAGTGACAACTTCTAATTCCATCCTTCTTGCTTTGTGTGACTTCCACCTTCCTGGTTTAACAATGAATGAGGATTAGTAAGGTGAAAATGCTTTGAGACTGACTGCTGATTTGCTGACCTTGTGATAAAACCTGACAACCTCTTAATTTTCACAGATAAAACCAAGAGGCCTTGAAGTACACGGTAAGCTGTTAAGCAAATATAAAGTACCTTTCCAAACACTCTCAATCACTCACCCACTCATTCATTTTCATTCTCTCGCTTCCCCTCCTCTCTCACACACAGAAATGTAAACCTAATGAAATGGCTTATAAATGGAAATTACCATTTAATAAAAAAAACTATTACAAGAGCATTATCTTCAAAGCTGTAACAGTTTCTCTGAGATCTACTGTCTCTCATCCTATGTTGACTATTTGTGGGAGCAGCTGTGTTTGATAAAGTTTCGCTTCATGGTTTAGCATTTCTTTTTACCTCATTTCCAGCTCCAGGCAGGAAAGTCTTGACTTTGATGGTCTTTCCAGGTGCGGGGAAAGGAGATTCCATCAGACTACGCATAAATGGGTAAACCAGAGCAGCAGATATTCCTCTCCTTCTTTCAACTTCATCCAGTATCTGATCCATCACAGCCAAATATGAAAGAGAAAGGAGAATTCACATGCTGCATTAGAAGCATAGAAACCCTTTTGTCTGTGAAAGTTTTCACTCTCTTGGGTGTAATCAATTAAAGGCCCTCTTTCTCTTTTCAGTAGTGAATGGGGAGAAAACAATGAAATGGGAATGGCCATCTCTCTCTCTCCCCCTCCCCATTTTTCCATCCAAACAGACAAAGGAAGGAAACCAGTTGTTCCGACCCCAGATCTATACATTATCAGAGCACTTTGGAAGTTAAGCCAGGGGCAACATACATGGGGAAGGCCATGGATTGCCTACTCCCAGCTATCTTACCTTTACTCAGACGAAATACTAGTTAAATTGCATGTGTTTTTTTACACAGGGCAGAATCCTTTTGGTTTCTTATTATGCCATGATTAAGTTCCTCCACAGAAGCAATTTGGTATAGGTAAAGGTAAAGGTTTTCCCCTGACATTAAGTCCAGTCGTATCTGACTCTGGGGGTTGGTGCTCATCTCCATTTCTACGCCGAAGACACCTCCAACCTCATGTGGCCAGCATGACTGCATGGAGCACTGTTACCTTCCCGCCGGAGCAGTGCCTATTGATCTACTCACATTTGCATTTTTTAAACTGTTAAGTTGACAGAAGCTAGGGCTAACAGAGGGAGCTCACACTGCTCCCCAGATTCGAACCTGCAACCTTTCGATTAGCAAGTTCAGGAGCTCAGTGGTTTATTGTTGTATACAGGGTCAATTTGGTACATTAACCCCATATACAAAGAATGCTTCCAGCTCAAAGTTGTTAGGGCATGTAAGAATTCAGATAGTGTGTGTGTATTAACCGTAAGATGCAAGGCACAAAGCTGATTGGTTGGGTCACGCTCAGGGAGCTAGCTGGGAATTTTAGCATTAGTTTCATATTCAGGCTTGAGTTATTCAGGTGCTTGCAAAGAGGGAGACAGCTCTTGCTTCATGAGCTGTTGGAAGGAGATTTTCCACATGGACACCGAAAGACCATTTATTTCTCTCTAAAAGGAGATTGCGTGAGTCAATGCAACTGACCTCATGATTGTAAATATGTTATGTTTTACGAAGAGTAAGCTACTTGTTCTTTACTTATCATCTGTGTGGAATATATTCTTTCTCTGGCAGGACAGTGTGTGGTCTGATAAAGCACAAACTACACGTGATTTACATTACGCCAACAAAAGTCACAGAAGTAGAGATGGAAATCCCTATGTGTGTTCAAATTTGTACTCATTCACACAATCAGATATGCAATCTTGTGCACATTCAACTGTATATTTTGTTACACATTGGGTTATCAACTTTACAATTCAACACTGGAATCAGGGCACACATTCACACATATAATTCCACCTGTGGGGATTGACATTGTGAAATCCCACTGGAGGATCTCACTCATGGCTTCATAGTTCAACGCTTTCAATTTTTCTTTTCTTTTTCCATAGTGGCAGCTCTAGCATTGAAGATCTTCAATTAAAAACATGCCCAGCCCAGAATTTCTTCTTTATGAAGTGCTAGCCACAGTATTCCACCAGAAAGCCAGCTTTCTTGAAGGACATTTCTGGAACACTAGTTTCATAACTCTGTCATGATGTGGTAAGCATGGACTAAGTTGAGGAATCATAAGCTTAGTGGCACTGGACACACTTTATCTAATCATAAGCTTAGTGTCACTGGACATACTTTGCAGATCCAATCTCTAATTTCTCCCATTAAATGAACCAAACAACCAATTTCACCACAAGACCATTAAGAATGCTGCCAGTCAGAGTAAATAACAGCAGCGTTAACAAACTAATAACCAAATATTTCATCTACTAAGATAAATATGCCTCTTGTGTGAAATACTCCAGCTCCCCAGGCGGGGTCATGAGAGAAGCCTCCCACAAGGATGGTAAAACATCAAAACAACAGGGCATCCCCTGGGCAACGTCCTTCCAGACAGCCAAATCTCTCACGCTGGAAGCAACTTGTAGTTTCTCAAGTCGCTCCTGACACGAAGAAAAAAGAACTTAAAGGCATATAACAACAAATGACATATTTAATCTGTGTGTCTGTGAAGAGAGAGAGAAAGAAGCAGCTTAGGCTAATAGATCTAATATATACAATGCTGTTTTCTCTAAGGATGTTTGAGGATAATGAACTTTCCATACTTTTGCCTCAATATTTTAGCTCTGCAGTGAAAGTACATAAATGGAGCAGGCCCTGGAAGCAAAAGAAGAGGTAATATGGAATGGGAGAATTCCAAGGCTGACATCATTCTTTTGGGTGTACAGATACTACTTGTTGCACTGCCCACAAAACTATCACTCTTTGGAATTTATGGAAGCTGAACATGTAGGCAGTATAGACCATGAAGATTAGATATGCACTGAGAGAAGATCCAACCACCAGCAAAAGGAAGTCTGTGCAAGCATTCCTTAGATCTGGCAATAAACAGATAGCGAGTTAGTGTTATTCTGGCTCATCAGCTCAACTTTATGCGCCAAGAATTACAACTCAGCCGAAAGTGCAGGAGAGAGCGAGACAGAGAGAGTACACTCCAATATTGACAGACACAGATGTTTTTCAAATCTAAATGCTTTTTCAGACACAGAAGTAACAAAGCATTCTTTGATAAAACCAGTAACAGAGATGAGCTGTCAAACATAGTAATTCTAAAATACTGTTATCACCTATCAAGCCAAGAATCCTCTATCATGATTCATTAGGTGAAAAGATTCTCTATTAGCAGCAAACACAAAGTCAGTGTAAAAAGAATAGCTTACCTTGGAAAACAAGTCAAAGCAACCCAGGCGACTGATGACACAATACACCTCAGGTAGTCGAGGTCCTTTTCCACTTGGCTGTCAACAATGAAGTATTTTTAAGAAGAAAGAAAAAGAGTGAGGTTTGAATTGATGTTTATTGATATAATTACACTTTGGACCACAATTCCACACATGAATCTTTCTTTTGTTCACTCAATGAGACACTCTTGAGAAATCATTATAATTTTTTTCTCCTAAGGCATGAAATGCAAGTCTTGAGGAATGCTTATCCACATTAGGGATCATGATGCGACACATACATACTCTCCATCATGCCAAACAAATTACTTACTTTTAATTATTGCAACTCAATAATTAAAAGATTACTTACTTTTAATTATTGCAACTCATACCCTTCTTTTTACCATAAAATATGACATGAATGCAACTTAGAAGGGTGGCTGGGAATAAGCACTCATCAATGTACAGTATCTTACTAATGTGGAGCAGGTTGTGATTGAAACAACCACCACATCCCTCTCCTAATGAGTTTGCATTTTGAGTCATTTATATAACTAGGCCCATGCTATGGCTCTTTCACAACAAAAGACAACTAGGAAAAATTCGATTAAGCAAGGCTGTACTCATGAAGTGAGCTAGAATCCATCCTGCTTGGGCATATCCCCACTCTTCTGCATAATTTATGTAACTGTTCCCTCATTATGCGTATAAAATGGCAGAGATATGTTAAATCACATGTCCTTCTGTGTGGAAAACTAGAATATAAATCTAATCAAATAAATTAAATATTATTTGTTGATGATCCAATGGGGTTGTTCAACAGATGGAACTGCTTCTGTTGGAACAGTTCCTTTTGCTTATGAAGCTTCCTGTATATTTCCAAAATGGATTCTGGGGATTAGGAAACTTCCTGGAAACCCTGAGTCTGTGGAAAACTACAGGTAGCAGACAAGAAATTTCAACCCTGCAAATGGGTGTCTGCTAGTGCTGTAAACAAAACCAAAAGTAAGATATCAAAAATATTGATGCTTTCAATTAAATCAAAGAAGACTATGAATCTCATTGCTATGAGCCTTCCATAATGTCTTCTTCAGTGAATACTTTCATGATCAAACTAAACACAACTGAAGAGAAACCTGAGATTATTGTCTTATCCTGAGTATCACTGGGATGGTCAGCAGGTGCCTGCGCTCCTGCAGTGAAAAAAAAAACCATGAATAAACTTAATGGAGTTAAGTGAATACAGATGAGTCTATTTTTGGATCAAGACCTGCTGCTGCTCAGCAGACGTCACATTTCTGAAAAAGCAAAACTCTCTTTGTCCATATTAGGTATAAAACGTCTTCTCAAAGCATCAAGCGATTATATCTAGCATGTGGGATTTGGGTTAAAATCATTGTGTCAAATATGCAGGAATGCTGTGGCCATGCCAGGCATCCTGGACAGCTACCAGCTAAGAGCTCTCTTGCTGAGTGCCAGTAAAAACACTGCATTCCTGGGTCATATATAAAAGCAGGAACAATAACTGCTCACAATTTAGTCGAAGACCTTGGGCTAATGAAGTATTAGTTGTGGTGTGTGTGTATGTGTAAAATATTTTAAGACTACAATGCCACGGAGTTTAAAAATAATGGTGAGCATCTACATTCTCCAAAACTCTCTTTCTTCATGGAATCTATTTCAGTTCTAATCCTCTTTTCAAGAATTGTGATACTACGTTTTATGCTCACAAATTACACTTATAAGTAATGAAGCACTTCTGACCGGTTGGAATCTGTGCTTCTACCAACAATGCCACTTCTTCTACTGGGGAGTGGAGTGGGGTGCTACTCTGACTGTTCAGTTCCCTTTTCAACCTTGTGCTTCTGAAAAAGACCCAGACATTTCAGGGAACACCCACCCCTTTTCAGACATTTGCTCTCTGATGTTTACAACAACCATTGCTCAGAGTTAAAATGATGGGACTGAATGGTTGCATTTTCAAATAGTTTCATATTTTTATATTTATAGCAGATTTCACAGCATGACTGTATTTAACTGTTCAAGAATTTTATCAATTTACACACGTTTTGGATTTTAGAAAAAAACAAAACAAAACACATGAACAAAGGCTTCAAATGTGGAAACGTTTGTTCTTCCAAAAGAACAAAACTGCCCCTTCTCTCCTCTCCCTTAAGAAGCAGTTAAAAAGTCAGTGTTCTCAAGCATACATTAAATTTTGATTCAGCTCATAGAGACTTACCTGTGTCTAGATTGCTTATTGTTAACTGTATGATTCATTTTAAATGTGTTAATTACCTCTGACCATTATTAGAGTCATTAGAGAAATGTGTCCCAATAATTTTACTTTGTATATTTAAATTTCACATTTGTTATTGAGTTGTTTTATAAGTAAATTCTGATGCTTTCTATTTGATTGTTTATCATTTGAAGTGCTTTATTATGTTATGATTCTCAGACATTGAATGTTTGCCCATCTTTTGTTGTATACCACTCTGAGTCCCTTTTGGGAGATAGGGAAGTATAGAAATAAAGTATTATTATTATTCCAAAATAAAGTTTTCTTCACATGCATGTTTCCTTTGAATGTGCATCGTGTCTGAACCAACTTTCAGTGCTGCAGTGCAAATATTATGAAAACTCTCCATAATAATAATAAACCTTTGTTTGTATACCACCCTGTCTCCCCATAGTGACTCCGAGTGGTTTCCAACATGTAAGGTAAACATTCAGTTGCCAGAAAGAAACGATACAATTAACACATTCGAGAATATAACACAATCTAATTAAACTTAACAGACAAAATAACAACTGAAAACATCATAAAATACAAAAAAATCTACTAAAACACACTACAGATAAAATATTGAAAACCCATTTCATTGTAGCTCCATCAGTAGAAGTTCAACAAAACCATTGGCCAGGGTTACGAATGGACATGGCCAACTATAAAAGGGCTGGGTATGGGATAGCACAGCCCTTTTAAATAATAGGGCCAGGGAAGTGAATGACGTGCAGGACAAAGTGCTATCTAGCTACCTGGGAAATAAGTCTAGGGACTAATCACTCTCAAAAACTTGCTGGAACATCCAGGTTTTCAAATCCCTACAAAAGGAGGACAGTGTGCTATCATTTCAACCATAATTTTCAACAACAATCTTTAGTTCTGACTTACTATTATCGTCATTGTTTCTAAGTTAGGAGAAATATTACACTTACTCCATGAGTTATTTTGCAGTAATTAAAAATGCCACCAGCCTTGATTCAGCATGGTGTTAATCAGCACAGAGTTGCATTGATCAACTTACTGTCGATGCCAGAGGATGATATAAATTGACAGAAGGCAGAAAATCTAACATTGGGCATTGTGTGTGCAGTCCTGACCCTTATCAAGGGCTCTATAGGTGCACTTCTAGAGCTGAATAACTGTTCTACATTCATCATCCTCTATGTGATTCAATCTAGTATTTCCTTCTTGCTCTTCCTTCAGTAAGAGGTCATCAGCACTAATTGAGATGGCAATGCTACCCATCACTTTGGCACAAAAAAGCTGGAGCTCCTCTCCACAATTCACATATGTGAATTCATGTGCGCACTGCAAATGTGGTTCTCTTGTCAAACCGTTATTTCTACTATAATGGCCACTTCAGCATCAGGATTGCTTTTTAAGATCTAGTTTGATACATTCTACTCATTGAACTGTCACCATCACCAGCAGCCATCATCATCTCAATCAGTTTTTATTTTAGAAAGCTTTCCTCTAGAAAGCTTTTTGTCTTGAAATGCCTGAAGCCAGGGCGGGGGGGGGGGGGGGGGGAGAGAGATATTTTATTTTCCAAGTAGAATGTGAGGCAAGGAAAATCTGGGAGAAATAAACACTAGGCTAACAACAACAACAACAACAAGTACAACTGATCCACAGACAAAACCCTGCAAGACCATACAATATGTGATACAATTCTTCTTTTCTCTAGTATAAAGGAGGCATACAAGCTCAATTCTGAGAGTGCCTTGGACTGCGAGAAGATCCAACCAGTCCATCCTCCAGGAAATAAAGCCCGGCTGGAAGGAAGGATACTAGAGACAAAGTTGAAGTACTTTGGCCACATCATGAGGAGACAGCAAAGCCTAGAGAAGACAATTATGCTGGGGAAAGTGGAAGGCAAAAGGAAGAGGGGCCGACCAAGGGCAAGATGGATGGATGGCATCCTTGAAGTGACTGGACTGACCTTGAAGGAGTTGGGGGTGGTGACGGCTGACAGGGAGCTCTGGCATGGGCTGGTCCATGAGGTCACGAAGAGTCGGAGACGACTGAACGAATGAACAACAACAACACAAGCTCAATTCTGACAATGGACAACATTGAGCCTTAAAACAGGAAGAGATCTTAAGCATCATTTAAATAATCTTTTCCTCTGTGGGGTATTTCTTCCCTTTAATAAGTGTGTCCTGAAGTTTAGCTGAAATATCTTTCCTTGAAATTTCAGCCTGCTGGTTTTATTCCCACTTTCTGAATCAAGAAAGAATATATCTGCTCCATCCCTCGCATAACAGCATATTTAATATGCTATCTTGTTTCCCCTTAATGGTCTCTCCTTCAGGCTAGTCCTTAGCATGTTGGAATTTAGGACTTTGGGGGAAGTAGTAGTTTTACTTACTAGTAATCGTCTGCAATAACCAAATCTTCTGCTGCCATCTTCTCCAGTCAGCATGAAAGAGAATGTCTCACTATAAGAAAAATTACCCCACATTTTACTACATTGTTTAAATGCAGGTGTTAAGTTATGGATTCTTTTCAATGAATAAAACTTTTTGACATATATTGAGATATTGTCCAAACAGAGAAAACAGCCTTAGTGAGGTTTTGACAGTAACTAAAGAATTTTGAATTTGTTCTCTCCATATGTGAATGATTACTGAGCATCACAAGCATTAAGAAATTAGTCCTAGTATGTACTATTTTGAAATTAATTCCCCCATTCTACTTCTTTCACCTTATTGCTGTAAGGGAGAGTTGCACTTATAGTGGTCAACAAGAAAATGGTGTAAACCTGAGGTGGGAACCATGCAGCCCATGTTGGACTGTGGTTCCTAGCATTCCTCACCATTTGCTACGCTGGTAGGGCTGCTGAAATGTACAATCCAACAACATTTGAAGAGTCAAATAAGTTTCACCCTTCATTTAAGTAATAATTTATGGTAAAGGTGTCCCCTGACATTAAGTCTAGTCACGTCCGACCCTGGGGGGTACCTATTAATCTACTCACATTTGCATGTTTTTGAACTGCTAGGTTGGCAGAAGCTGGGCCTAACAGCGGGAGCTCACCCTGCTCCCTGGATTCAAACTGCCAACCTTTTGGTCAGCACATTCAGCAGCTCAGTGGTTTAACCCGCTGCACCACCAGGGCCCCCGCATTTAATTAATAGGTTGAGCTAATTTTAAAAACAGTGTAGTAGAGTTTCAATTAAATCTCAATTGACTTCAATAGTTGCAAGCTAAAGCTGGCATGGACAATCTTTGGACCTCCAGGTGTTTTGGACTTCAACTCCCACCATTCCTAACAGCTACTGGCTGTTAGGAATTTTGGGAGTTGAAGCCCAAAATACCTGGAGGTCCAAAATTAGCTAATGCCTGAGCTAGAGTTTTCAAGTCAGAGGCTAACTAAACACTAACCAGGAATCCCTAAACATCTCATTCATTTGGTTATAGTTTTTTAACTGCATCCAAAACCATATAAGAACAAACAACAACAAAAATACAGGCATGCCGATTAGGTTCTCTTCAGCTGGGCTCAGAGAAAAAATACTGCCAATTTATAAAATGAAGCATGCTCTAAAATTCTCTTCCATCTTGGATTACAATGCAAATTGGAGAAAGATTCCCAATTTCCTTTCTCATAATCTGTCCCAAACCCCAAAATGATTTTTTTCTAGTCGACACATCACTCTCTCAACAAGAGAAAAAGAATTTTAAGGAAAAGAGAGGATATGTTGAGGATAGAAAGCACTGACAGCATTGTTTTCTAAATCAATGGAGAAAAATATTCAAATTCTTTCTGCAATTTTGGAAACAATTTGGATAATTTCAGGAAACAAGCAGGGCAGGTAAGTTTTCTTATTTCTTATGGCAAATTTTCCATAACAGTCAGAATTCAAAGTAATGTGAGCAACATCACTTTTGTCCTACCACAATACTAAGCAAATTACACCTTCATGAGTTGTGAACAGTGAAATTGAGTAGGTATCCTGGTTCAGCAAAATGGAACAAAGTTCATGGAACAATGGGCAAAAACATTGTTTGAATTTTGTCACTATATAACCCACAGTTATGACTAGTAATAGGACACTCAGTTCTTGTGGGTTTTTTCGGGCTATATGGCCATGTTCTAGAGGCATTTCTTCTGACGTTTCGCCTGGAGAGTAATAGGACAGTTTACCTGTTGTATTCTGATACTGGATTCCAGTCTTTGGCATCCGGAAAGCAAAACTGAGGGATGGCCTTGAGCCGTTCTTCTGCTTCACGAACTTGTTTTGTGGGTCTTTCTAGCTGTGGGAGAATAGATCAGCATCTGTAGAGTCTATCACAGACCCAAATCAAAGTTTTAAAATATCACACCCCTTCTTTTCCACTAGTTCCCTGCACTCTTTTTAAGTTTCCCCAAGGATCAAAGTCATGTTATGAGAAGCAGAAAAAAGATGGAAGAGGGAGAATAGTACCAGAACAGCCAAAGGAAACTTCTAAAAGTATTATGCTTTTTATGAAAGCTGCCTTAATTTGATATATTTCTCATGAGTCTAGGGAGAAAAGAAATTTTCTTCTGTGGCAATTCCTTCTGTTCAGCCTGATGTTAGGAAACGATACTGGCCTTTCTCAGGCTGGAATTACACTGCCATATAATCCAGTCTCAGCATCCAGATTATTTGCTTTGAGTTGAATTAAATGAGTCTACACTGCCATATAATCCAGTTCAAAGCAGATAATCTGGATTCAACAACTGCATTATATGGCAGTGCAGATGGGGCCTCAATACACATATCTTCTTTTTACTGTTTAATTATCACATGTGCTGGCTTCACAATTCTTGAAACTTTCCTCCCAATATCCTGCCAACAGGTTCAGTTCATTCAAAGTCTGGTGGTTGTTATGTACTTTCAGTTCAACTCCTCCAACATATGGCAGCCCTATCCTAGAGCCTTTTTTGGCAAGATTAATTCAGAGGTTTGTCATTGCCTTCCTCTGAGATTGAGAGAACATGTCATGCCCCAGGCCAGCCACTAGGTTTCCAAGGCTGAGAGGGGATTGAAGTCCTGGGCTTCAAGAGTCCTAATCCCACACTTGACTCCCTATACCATGCTAGTGTTAGTGCTTCTAAATTCAGCAAGATTTATTTCCAAGTAAATGTACACAGAAGAACTAAAAGCACTTCTCTTTCGAAAATGATATAACACCATAAATTTAAAACACTACTATGATTGGGGAATGAGAATAGAAGCATCATAAAATGTGATTTCATTTTCTCTTTCAACCAATAAGCTCGCTTTTCTTAAACTGAGGGTCATACTACACATTCCAGTTATTGCAAAGGACAGCCTCTCTTTTTTATTTTTTCTAATTTTATAGCGGTGGGGGGCACAGGAGATGCATTTCAGGGGAGGTTTCCCTCTCTCTTTCATAGCCATACCAATTTTTAAAAGATCATCCACTTGCATATAAATCACAGAAATGCTATTCTCACTGGCACCATGGCTATGGGAAATTTGTGGGTGGGTTCATGTATGGGTAAAGAATGTATCATTCACCCTACTTTACATGCTGTGAACCTTTTCAAAAGGCCTACACCATGCTAAAGCTTAAGCAAAACATAAGGCAAGGAAGAATAGTTCTGTGATGTAAATCAATGAATGTAATATTGTGTACATAAGTCTAAAATTGCTTTCTGTTATAAAATTCCGATGAGATGTCTCAAATCAAGCTAAAGATGCTTACATAACTATCCAGATTCCTCTCTACGATTTAGCATTCCAAATGACCTGTTATTGTTTCCAAGATGGCCCTGATGTTCTATCATTTCTTCCATTTCCAGAGTCTTGGGTTGTTCAGGACAATCCACATCACATTAACGGTATTTTTGTTACAAAATACCAAAGTGCACTAGTGCATATACAAACCAAATACAACATAAAAACAAAAAGATGCCCCTTGAGATCCTTTGCAAACATATAATTCTAAGAAATCACAATGTGATCACACAGTCTAATCAAGATTCGATTTACAGTCATTTAATCAGTAGGCATAAAAACATGTCCATATCAGAAACCGGGGGGTGGGGGGGTAGAACTAAAGAGGGAATTAGCTTGTAAGTTAGAACAGGTACATATTTTAAGTGCAACATCAGCCATATATACACACATACATACACACACACTTTGGATAGCACAGAGAATGGTTAATACCCCCGTGGTGTTAGTTTTGCTGTCTGTGCCCCTTTTCCAAAGATTTCACCTCACTTTCTGTCCCTGTGATCATTGGATTTTGAAAAATTTGGCTTGTTGTGCAAACATGGTTTGGTGAGAAAGTTTCAGTTGAAACAAGGAAAATGTCCTTCCTTAGGGGTAGATTTCTCTCATTTTCTGTTGTCTCACCCCCATTCTTACCTATGAGTTGTAAATCAGATGTTTGTAACTCAGGGACTGCCTGTGCTACCAGTTAATACAATTCTTACCTTTGGAAATTGATATGTGACTTCAGGGAGATACGTGTTTTTGGAAGGCTTCTTCTTAAGGGAAACGACCACAAAATATTCAAACAATTCACGTTCCTGCCATTCAATCAGCTCCAGTTCCAAAGTCCGGTAGCTCGGAGCCCTCTTCAGCATTGACTGGATGTGAACAAGGCGTTGGGTGTGAGCTGGTTTGACAAAAAGAACAAGAAGCGTTAGTTGGTGGTTCTGTGGGTCTTCTGTGCTGATAATCCAAGCACACTCTCTTTGCATTCCTTCTGGTTGCTGACAAAAATAACAACCTCTCCAGAGAGAGAAGTAATTGAAAAAAATCTGAAGATACATATAACAGATTAAAGTCATAGAAACTTCTCAAATAATAACATAAAATCAATAGTTTTTTTAGGCTTAAATCCACATACTTTATTCTTTATTAATCCATAGTTTATTAATTCACTTTCTTTATTAATCAATAGTTATAAATAAAGTAATCTTACAATCAAAAGAGAATAAATTATATCACTCAAGCATCATATTTGAATCTAAGGAAGCATGAAGTGATGGAATCTCTTGCTCTTCCATATGCCTTCCTGTGCCCAGGCTTTCTCCTTGTTCATAATTTTATCAAGGTAATTAAGATTGAACCCGAAGAAATAGGAATGGCACAATACAATGTGGGACTTTTCCCAACTTCCAAACATGGTTTTTTTCAGAACTTCCAGTCCTCTAAAAGCTGCATATTAACAGGATAGTTTGGAAGCCCCAACTAGTTCAGAGATTGGCAGCCAGATCACTAACTGGAGCACCATACAGGGAGCGGACAACTCCCATGTTACAGCAACTCCACTGGATGCCGGTCTGCTTTAAGGCTAAATACAAAGTGCTGGTCATTACCTATAAAGCCCTAAATAGTTCAGGTCCAGACTATTTGACAACCTGCATCCCTGTCTACAAACCTATTCAGACTCTGCGCTCATTGGAGGGGGCCTTCCTCTCGGTCCCACCCATCTTAAGCACAGCTGGTGGGAACGAGAGAGGAGGCCTTCTCTGTGGTTGCTCTTTCCCTCTAGAACTCCCTCCCTAAATAAATTAGAACAGCCCCCTCACTTCTTTCCTTCAAGAAATAATTAAAAACCTATTTCTGCTCATTAGCTTATGGAGAGAAGGAAGAATAATATCACCAATTCCATCTTGGCAGATGAAGCTGAAATTATTATTATTATTACTATTATTATTATTATTATTATTCCTCTGCTCATCACAGATTAAGCATCACATTTCATTTAGCACTAAATTGGGACAACGATCTGTGTCATTTCTGCCTTTAACATTTTTTTAACTAAGCTTTTATATTCTTTGAAATGATATAGGAAGACTTTCCCATATTTTATGGTAATGTTGATTTTTTTTCTTGGTTATTTGATGATCTCTGTTGTTTCCCATATTCTGTATCAAGAATCCATTTAGTTATTCAGAAAAATAACAAACACATAATTTTAATACTATGCTTCATAAAACTAGTAGCAACACGTTGCAATTCTACCCATCTGTTTCTGCTGTACTTCAAATTACAAATACCACAGCAATCTGCATCAGTTTCAAGCCAGAAATTCTACTGGTATAAAAGCAGAATCTGGCACTGGTTGGGAAATAAGTTCATAAAAACAGATCTATTGGCTAGACAATGAAGAGGTGACTGGACAAGAGTGCTAGACAGCAAAGGCAAGAAAGACAGAGTGAAGAACCCTGCCCAGCAATTCCACTTTTTTCATTTTCTTTAGATTTTTTAAAAAAATTCATACTCTCACAAGCAGTAGAATACAGATATATAGCTAGTTCTTCAAACACATTATATTTTAAATTACTCCATCATCAAAAATTATTAAAAGAGTAACTACACAGCATCAAGAACATTGTCTGAGATAGGGGAATTTTTGTTTATATCATAGTTGATCTTTGAGGAGATAGGTTTGTTGTAATGATTGAAATGGATCTGTAATATCCAATGCTGTGCAAAACAACTAATATTGTGCAATCCAAATACAGTGCTTATATAATGGGGCTTTCCAAACTACTTTTACCCAGTGCCTTTGCCCTCCAAATATTCCCTTGGGAAGATCCACCAGCAATGGATACTCTCGAATACGGCCCACCATGCAATACAAAGTACTTTGAGGAAAAATGCAGAGTAAAAACTATTCTAGTTACCAAACCATCTATATTATATTGTTACTAATTGAAAGTATAAGGCCTTATGTTAGAATAAAGACTTCAATCAAATGATAAGAGAAAAACCATGAGCATTGTTCTTCCTCCTTTTACCTAAATTTCCTACCAGCTTAAGAAATGAACCCTGAGTTTTGGGAGATCATCAAAATAGAATGGCAGTATAGGAAAGCAGGATTCCCACAGAAGTCCATTGGAGATGGCCTGAACCTGATGGTGGGCCCAGCCACAACACAAAAGAGGAGCATTCGTCAACCAACAGTCTACATCGGGGTGAGTCACTATGGTCCTTCAGATTAATTACAGTTTCTGTCATCTCCAGCACCACAGCCAGTGATGAATGACAGGAGTTTCAGTACAATTTCTCAGGCAAGCAATACTCAAGTACAATAGAGTCTTGCTTATTCAACCTTCACTTATTTGACATTCTGCCTTATCCAACACTCTTATCCAACACCCGCCTTTTCCTCCAGCATTTCCCCTTCAATTAAAGGAGCACTCCCCAACTCTCTTTCCATTCCCAATAAGTTAAAAAGGCAAGACTGGGGGGGGGGGGTGGTGGAAGAGGCAGGACCGGAAGCGGAAGCATCCTCTCTTCTTCCCTTTGTAATTTCCTCACTCCTCTTCCACATCTGGACACTTCCTGCTGGGCCACTCTAGACCTGAGGCATCGCCTTGCCTTAATCCTTTGAGTCCCTGTTGTTAGTATTCTAGGTGTCTTGTGCCGTGTCGGACAGATAACAGTAGGAGATTCCATATTACTTGAAATTTTCGTTTTTCCGATGTTCTGTTGGCCCCTTTATGTCGGATAAGCAAGACTCTACTACTAAGTAAGGCTGACCTGTTCAGTTTCCAAGACCATACTGGATCTGGTGCCTTTGGGGCACTTAGGCAGGTATTTCAAAATGTAACAAGCTTCAGATCTCTACAGGATAGCAAACCAAGGTTAGGGAGGCATGGGGTCTCAGGCTTTTCACTACAATTCTTCCAGTCTCTTTACTTCCCCATGTTAACCTCCAAATTTCTGGATACTAAATCCAAGATTGAAAATTAAAATGTTTTCTTGATCGGCATCCATATATACCTTTATATATCTTAAACTCTATACATCTTCTTTGCACTGAAGCAATGAAATCCAAGATTTCTCTTAGGACAAAATGACTTGTCTTGCCAAATAAATCCTGCCTCAAAGCAGCTGGTTATCACTTTCTTAAATAAGACAAATCCAGAGTTAAAGAAAAATGGCAGTTCGACCCATGCAATACAGTTCAAAAGTATTAAAAGTAGTATGAGAAGAATAGTCTCCCACTATATTAATATAAATTTATTTTATCTCCATCCGAAATCACAGAAGAATTCTGAAATTCAGTTTCCAAACATGAATGTGTCTTCTTTCACATTGTCTTCAACTTTCTGGAGTAATAAAAAGACACCAATCAGCTTGACTTCAAGGGATTGTAAACTGTCTAGAAGATAAGATATAAACTCAGCTTCTCACCTTTAAACCGATCATCCGAATCACTTTCACTCTCACTGTTTTCATCTGAAAGAGAAGGATTTCACCGTCAGAAAATAGGATGTCACATTTGTTCTTGTGCTTTAAGTTAGCAAAAATGTTCTGCAATGTATCTCAGAATAAGTTGTTATTATGGAGAAATTATTTATGATTCCCAAAGTACTTAGATATCCTGAAGTAATAGCCATGCCGCTTTCAAGTTATTTTGACAACTGGTTCAATATTTTCCATTCAAATCAACATGTAACACAGTAACTGTTTGTTGGGCTTTCATCAATTTTCCTCATTATCTATAGCAGTAAACAAATACATGTAGCCATCTATGATGGCTACAGCTCCCTGGAGAGCAATCATGCATCTGACCTTGAGACCATTTCAGTGTTATTTACCAGTAGTCTAGGAAAATTATTTTAAATCACAGTGACTTCTATTTCAACAAGTGGGCATTCAATATTCTCTCCATAATTCAAAAAGTTTCCATCATATACCTCTCAGTGATGCTGTTTCAATATTGGACATTGAAAGTTTCTTCAACCTCTTCTTTCCTCTTTTTGCACTATAGATAGAGTTGATCCTTTGTACAAGCTGAAAAGAGGACAATCATCGTCATACCTCAAATCCAGAAAAACAAATACAGGCCCCAAATTCTATAATAATTACTGTTTATGTGATTTATTCATATTCCTATATAATATTTACATACCTGGGAATAAACCTCAGTTGGAATTTATAAAGGAACACAATATTGTGTTCTATAACATTTCGTTTTAACTGCCTTTCATGAGTTGTGAACTGTAATCACTGCTATATGTAGATATCATTAATATTTCCATATGTAAGAACATACCCCTCAAATAGCATTAAATGTTTGCACTTAAATGATCTCCCCCCGGACAGAATGCAAGATAAACAGGATTATATTTTGGAAGTTTGTCCTGCTGTCATCAGTAGAGCTTAACAACAAGTAAATATGTATATTTACTTCTGTAGAAATATGCAAAGAACAGTGACATCTATTTCTAACTATTTTTATCTGTAGTACTTTTTAGCAGCATAGACTAAAAACTTTTTTATTCAAATAGGCATACATTTGCAAGTGTTTGTTGCATACAGTGCAATACTTTCCAGCTATTAGTGTTACATAGTCATTTCTCAGATAATATATTTTATTTAAGTGGTCACAGACTTCCATTTAAATAGTACTGTAGTGAAATCTACCTTTGAGGCGACCAGGCCGAGGCCTGAGTGACAGTGGCTGTCATCTTGGAAGACAGGCAGGAGCAGGAGGAGGAGTCAAGCCGACTCCTGATTGGGTAGAGCAATTAGGGGAGGAGTCGGTTGAGAGAGGGAAAAAGGCTGTCAGCTTTTGACAGGGAGAGAGAAGTGTCTTGACATGAGACACAGAAGGATGAGATTTTAGGAGAGGAAGCTAAAATAGGGTTCTGACAGGAAAGAAAGCTTCAAAGTGAGCCTTAAGGATAGGGAATAAGGTTGAGGCAAAGGCTAGGGTTTTACTGTGTTGAGAGGACCAGTAAAAGAGAGTTTTGTCTCCTTAAACTTAGGAGAAGTTTAAGATATCTTATTGCCCTGTGTGTGAGACAGATAGGAGTCTGTTCTCTAAGAGATACTGTTTCTAAGAATAGAACAGTGTGTTTAAGGAAACTCACAGTTTTAAAAGCTTTATGGTCAGTAGAACTAACTGTTTAATCCAACCAAGCCTCTACAACTGAATTACGCTTCTGTACCACTCATTCTATGAGTAGATGTTTGTCTAAAGCTCAATAAAACTTTTCTAGTTCACTTTTAGCTGGTGTAAGCCTCAGTCTGTCAAACCCTTTTAGAGTCCAGTTAGCCTGTGAAGAAGCAATAGAAGAACCAAGAGCAAACACACCTTACCTACAACACATTCACACCTTTGGTTCCTCAGACCAATAAAGCTGAGGTGGTGGCGGCTAATACTACCAATAACATTGGTCATTTATAATACTTTATCATCCCTTGCTTTGGTGGCAGAGGTGGGATTGTTTGACCACCCTGCCCAAGCTGTGGCGCTTTAATTTTACTATACTGGTGGCAGCGGTGGGATTCTTTGTTCCCCCCTGCCCAGATATATCTTCATTATATTATAAGTACATATAAAGGTATCATATACTTAACATCTGCTTCTTCCTTGTCTACAGTCTTATAGGATCCTCTATATCAGCCTTTCTCAATCTGGGGGTCAAGACCCTTGGTGGGTCACAAGAGGGTGTCAGAGGGGTTGCCAAAGACCATCAGAAAACACAGTATTTTCTGTTGGTCATGGGGGTTCTGTGTGGGAAGTTTGGCCCATTTCTATCATTGGTGGAATTTAGAAGGCTCTTTGAATGTAGGCGAACTATAAATCCCAGCAACTACAACCCCCAAATGTAAAAGGTCTATTTCCCCCAAACTCCACTGGTATTCACATTTGGGCATATTGAGTATTTGTGCCATGTTTGGTCCAGATCCTTCATTGTTCGAGTCCACAATACTCTCTGGATGTAGGTGAACTACAACTCCAAAACTCAAGGTCAACGCCCACCAAACTCTTCCAGTATTTTCTTTTGTTTCTTTCTTCTTTTTTTGCATTAAACTTTTGTTTTAATGGTCTCAAAATTTGAGACAGATTTTGGTCAAGTTGTTTCCATTTTTAAAAGTTTACTGATTTTAAAAACTAATAACTTAAACTGCCACGAAACAAATGGTCCACAAACATTCCTTTCCTTCTGAAGCTTTTACGATGCATCGTACCCTTCTAGTATTTTCTGTTGGTCATGGGAGTTCTGTATGCCAGGTTTGGTTCAATTTCATCGTTGGTGGAGTTCAGAATGCTCTTTGATTGTATGTTAACTATACATTCCAGCAACTACAATTCCCAAATGACAAAATCAATCCTCCCCTTGAACCCCACCTGTTGTGATGGAGTCTTTGAGTAGTGATACTACTGGGAGTATTAGGAGGGGAGGAAAGACTACTCGTGAGCAAGACTCCGATGAGGAGCAACAGAGAAAGCGGATCCGGGAAATACTTATGGAATCCAGTGATGATGAATCATTTGTGGGCTTCACAGGGAATAATGAGTCTGAGACTGAGGAGAGTGGTATGGCAAGTACAGAAGATGAAGAAATGGATTAGATTAAAGTACGGGAGATTCAGGCTGTCTGTGAAGAGCCCACAAGTAGCGATACATTTGTGGGTTTCTCTGGAGGAGAGGATTGGCACACTGGGGATCCACTTGAATCTTGAGGAGTTGTGGGTTTGGATAGAAGATGGAGAGACTGGAGAGATCGGCAAGGGGCTTCGGGTGGAAGGAGAAATGGTGGGGTGTTGTCTGATTCCAGTTCAGAGGAGGAATTGGGGCAAGGGGCTTCAGCTGCAAGGGGGGTTGGCAGGGTGTTGGCTAGTCCCAGCTCAGAAGAAGATTTGTAAATAAAAGTGGGGTTGGGAAATGGGGACTCCTTGCAGTCAGCAAGGTGTTGATGGGTGTCTGTTCCTGGGAGCTGTGTTTAGGAAGACATGTTTGGGAAGACTGCTGTGAATGTAAGTTTAAACCGGATTATCCGCGGCTTTGGTGGGCTGGAACTGTGAGGGTTTTCTCTGGATTGCTTGTGTTGATCTTTATGCATTAGCTGCTGAGCAGCCATTCTCCGTTTTGGCTTTGTGTAAGACCTGGACTGGATTTTTGTGTATGCTGACTTCTCCCTCTACTACCTGGATTGGATTCACTACGCTTGCTTCTTTGGGACGACGACTTTGTTTTGGACTGACTTCACGGTGGATGACCTCGGTGTTTCTGACGACTCCTGTGTGCTGTGATGACCCCTTTGTGTGCTGAGACGACCTTGGTTTGTTTTGAGTGCTTTTTCTTGCTGTTTGCATAACTTTAAGTTTAAACTGGATTATATTCTGGTTTAATCTGGGTTATTTTCCAGGTCTTGTTTTTTGGCCCAGTTGTGGGTAATTTTATGTTTCACACTGAATAATAAATGTTTTCAGCCTTTTTGAGTTATTTTTGGCTCCTTTTTTATTGTTAACTAATAAACTGTACTTTAATTAATATTGGTCTGGTGCTTTAACGGGTCTGTCTTGTAATAGTATTCAAATTTGGGCATATAGAGCATTTGTGTCCAGTGAATGAAAATATATCCTTCATATCAGATGTTTACATGACTATTCATAACAGTAGCAAAATTACAGTTAGGAAGTAGCAATGGAAATAATTTTCTGGTTATGGGTCACCACAACATGAGGAACTGAATTAAGGGGTCGCAACATTAGGAAGGTTGAGAACCACTGTTCTACATACATTTTAGTTTAATTTTACATTGAGATGTTGAATCTTGGTTGCCATTCATTAACAAAGTTGTCTAATAGTCAGAGGCGGCCCTAGGTAATTTTCAATGGTAAGCAAACAGCATTTTGGCGCCCGCCCCCCCACCAAACCAATTATTGAAAAATTATATATATATATGTATGTATGTATGTATGTATGTATATGTATATATATGGGGGGCATGGACACATTTTGGCCCTCCAAGTACTTTGGACTTCCTACTGGCTGTTTGGAATTCTGGGAGTTGAAGTCCAAAACACATGGAGGGCCGAAGTTAGCCCATGCCATCCATACACACACACACACACTAGCTGTCCCCTGCCACGCATTGCTGTGGCCCAGTCTGGTGATCTGGAAAATAAAGTAATGAAAAAGTGTTGGTTTCTAATAGATGTAATGTCTTGATGCTTGTGGGTAAACAGTATTCCTTGTTGTTTCTTTGTAGGTGTTGATGTAGAGATTATCTGGTTTGCCTACTCTGGAACATGCAACGTATTATTGTCCTTCTTTAGGGGTCCCTTTGAAATCAATATTATATCTGTCATATACATATGTATGTGTGTGTGTGTGTGTGTGTGAATCATACCTCTATCTCTCTCTCTCTCTCTCTCTCTCTCCATGGCTGTATGGCTCTTTGTCAGGAGGGCTTTGATTATGTTTTCTTGCCCTGGTGAAGGGCATTGGACTGAATGGCCTTAAGGCAGCATTTCTCAACCTGGGGTCGGGACCCCTGGGGAGTTGCAAGGGAGTGTCAGAAGGGTCGCCAACAACCACCAGAAAACACAGTATTTTCTGTTGGTCATGGGTGTTCTGTGTGGCAACACAGAACACCCACGTGCTCTGTGGCCCAATTCTATCTTTGTTTGGTTTCAGAATGCTCTTTGATTGTCGGTGTACTATAAATTCCAGTAACTACAACTCTCAAATGTCAAGGTTTTTTTTCCCCCACACTCTATCTGTGTTCACATTTGGGCATATGGAGTATTCGTGCCAAGTTTGGTCCAGATCCATCATTGTTTGAGTCCACAGTGCTCTCTGGATGTGGGTGAACTACAACTCCCAAACTCAAGGCCCACCAAACCCTTCCAGAATTTTCTGTGCCAATGGGTTTTTGGCCTGCATAAATAGGAGTCTAGTGTCTAGATCCAGGGAAGTAATGCTACCCCTCTGTTCTATTCTCTGTTATGACTTTTATTTTATTGTTTTGTATTACTGTTATTGCTTTTATTATTGATGTGTTGTGGGCTCGGCCTCATGTAAGCTGCACCGAGTCCCCTGGGGAGATGGTAGCGGGGAATAAATAAAGTATTATTATTATTATTTTGCCTTGGTCAAACTACACCTGGAATCACTGTGTCTAATTCTGGGCACCACCATTGAAGGGAGAGGTTGACTCTAAGATGGGAAGTGTTCAGAGGAGGGCAACTAAAACAATCAAAGGTCTGGAGAACAAGCCCAATGAGGAGTGGCTTAAAGGACTGGGCATATTTAGCCTGCAAAACAGAAGGCTGAGGGGAAACATGATGAGGGCCATGGATCAATATATGAGGGGAAGTCCTAAAGAAGAGGGAGCAGGCTTGTTTTCTCCTGCCTTGGGAGACTAGGACACACTGGAACAATGGCTTCAAACTACAGGAAAGAAAGGAGATTCCAGATGAACATGAGGAAGAACTTCCTGGCTGTAAGGAGAGCTGTTCAGCAGTGGAACTCTCCTTCTCTGCCCTGGAGTGTGTTGGAGGTTCCTTTCTTTGAAGGCTTTGAAATAGAGGCTGGATGGACATCTGTTGAGATGATTTGAATGTGCTTTTCTTGCTTCTTGGCAGGGTTTTCCTGTATTAAAGCTGAAGGAGGTTGGACTGGATGGCCCTTGAGGTCCCTCCCAACTCTTATTATTATTGAAGCTGGATTGCCACATGTTGGGCTTTTATTGTGGTTTTTCTATTATTAGTAATAACTCATTTTACAAAAAAAAAAATCCCAGTAAAGATCCCTGCAAAGCTTTGCAAGGGAGGGGGAAGGAAGGAAGGAAGGGAGGGAGAGAAGAAGGAATAGGCAAACTTGGGCCCTCCAGGTGTTTTGGGAATTGAAGTCTAAAACACCTGGAGGGCCAAAGTTTGCCCATGTGTGCTATAACAGCCTGTCTCGCAAGAAGAACCACCCACCCACCCGACCCTTCCCGGCAGAGCGTTGTGCAGCTAGCTGCCTCCCTCTCTTCTCACTGGCGTCATTGGGGCGGAGAGGTGTTCGCGGCTTGGCTGCAGGGGCGATATAAACACTGAATGGAGCAAGAAGGGAAGGAGGGAGGCGGGGCTTCTCACAGGCCTGGTTAACCCTTTCAGGACCCTACAAATGAGAGGTGAGCAAGAAGGGATGCCGTTGGGCACAATCCCTTCAACTGGCATGGCTCGATTGGGTTATTTTATTGATACAAAAGCACAGTTATGTCACAGCAAACAAGATCTATCTGCTGGATTATTATTATTATTATTATTATACTTCTTCTTAAGGTCTATCTACAAGAAGGGATGCAGTTGGGCAAAATCTCTTTAACTGCCCTCGTTCTATTATTGTTGTTATTTCGTTGTTATTATATTATATTATAATTATTCCTCTTGAGCTCCATCTCCCAGAAGAAATAGTTATCTAAATTCCTCTGCTTATTTGGGCTCTGCACATAAACTAAAACATTAAAAAGGAAACTATACGTGAGATGCAAATTGGTTGCATAAAACAGGCAAACGGCAGGCAGGTTTGTGTAGCTCCGTGGGTCCAGGAAGGAACGAAGCAGTAGAAGGAAGGAGGCTGGGGGGCTCCTCCTCCCTCCTTGCTCCATTCAGTGAGCCAGTCGCTTCACTGGGGTTGGAGAACGGAGGCCCAGGGAAGGAGGCCTAAGGTGGCCCCCACCAGGAGCAGCAGCGGCACAGCGTGGGCCAGGCATTCTGTTGGAAGGAAGGAGGTAGCTAAGGAAGGAGGCCAGAGGCGGCCTTCATACCTCTGTCTTTCAACTGGCGAACTTCTATCAGTGTGCTGCAGAGCCCTCGCGCGCTCCACGTGCAGCTTCGTGCTCTCTCACTGAGAGCCCCATGCGCAGGCGCAGTATTTCCTGGGCTGCCATGCCCGGGCGCCTCTGGGTCCTAGCACCCTACGCACTCGTGTAATCTGTTTACTGTGTTGAGCCGCTCCTGGTCGAGGGGCATTTACGCCCCTGGCAAAACAAAAGTGTTCCGCGACCGCTTACTTTGCGTAATGGATGAGCCGCCCCTGCTAATAGTTCTCCTCTTAATAATATAGTTCTTTTATCCATTATCAGCAAATCTGTAATATATTTTTTCCAATATCTGGCATATACTATTAGAGCTGCCACTGTCATGTAAAACATTTTTTTCCCAAATTTCCTTTCTAATTCTTCATCCGGCATGTTCAAAAGGTATATTTGTGATGTTATTTTGAAATTTGTGTTTAACATCTTTTCCAGGTGTACATGAATTTGTTTCCAGTAGTTATTTACTCTGATGCACGTTGCAACATAGATTTTTAACTGAGAGTATTGTTGGAATAGTTTGAGCATTGGATTAGGACTCTGGAGAGCAGAGTTTGAATCCAAACTTGGCTATGGAAACCCACTACCTGGCCTTGGGTAAGTCAACTCTCAGCTTCAGAGGAAGACAATCTGCTTTGAACAAATTGTGTACACATTCTGAACAAATTCTACCAACACTTATGGTCACTTAATGTCACCATAAATTGGAAATGACTTGGAGATACACATTATCAAGACTTTTAATTACTCAGCAGGGAAGAGATAAACATAGAGATCAAATACTCTTTTGCAATCTGTAAAAATAACTATTTGTATTATCATTACATTAAAAAAAATCAAATTCTGGTTGGGATTTGTGACTCTTTTACTAATATGCAATAAGTGACATTTAATACTTGTTTCAAATCTGTAACATTGCAACTAGCTGGGCTGCATAGCCTTTGAATAAACAATAGGACCCATATTGATTCAGTGGTTATTTCCTTGGAAACCATAGTTACAAACAATAACAAAGGAGGAAAAGAATTAAGATACACACAGAAGATTATAAACAGTAACATGCCAACCGCTACTCAAATTATAATTTAGCTGGTAAGAATGCTCTGGTTTAGAAAGCTTGGAGGGAAGCAGGTCATTAATCAAGGAAAAGTCTTGGCCTCTTTTCATAGTTGCACACTCAATGACCTTTCCATAGATGTCATGGTGAAGGATAATACATCATGGACACCCACCACTCCAACAACAGAACATGTGACACAGAGAGGGATGTGAATCTTTGCTGATTTACTTTTCCCTTGCAATAATGGGAGTTTTTAAAGTTTTCTCGCCACTAGGCAAGATTACATGAGTTTTGTGCATTTTTTTAAATAATACTGTTGATTTGTGAACATGTTGGGGAAAATGTTTCACAAAGGTTGCCTTGCAACCAATATAGTGGAGAAAGGTATCCTCAGATGAAATATCTGAGGATTGAATGAAAAGAAATGGCTCCACCTTCGTTACTTGAATTTGGATGGGAATATTTTAATAAATCAAATGCAGAAATAATCCTTAGAATGTGCTCTTTAACTACCACTAGAATGTGCTCTTAGAATGTGCTCTTTAACTACCACTATTCACTTTTCCACATAATCACCAGACAATTTGATACATCTCTGACAACATTTTCTGAAGCCGTCGACACTCTGTTTCCGCAACCAGCATCTTACAGTTCTCTCAACGTCTTCAGCAGAAGCATAATGATGTCCCCGCAGATCTTCTTTCATGATCGGGAACAGATGGAAGTGAGACGGTGCTAAATCTGGACTGTATGGAGGATGTTGTATGGTGGTGAGATCCAGTCTCTGAAGTTCTGCTGTGATGGCATGTGAAGTGTGTGGTCTGGCATTGTCATGCTGCAGGAAAACATTTCCCTTTTCCTTTCATACCCTTGTTAGCTGTCATTTCAAAGTTCGCAGCGTTGTGATGTAACGCTCTGAATTTATTGTTGTTCCATGTTCAAGGAAATCAACATGGATAACACCATCTGCATCCCAGAACACTGTTGCCATGCAACAATCAAAGCAGCATTATTATTATTATTATTATTATTATTATTATTATTATTATTATTATATTCATCATATTGGTCCCCAAGAGAATAAAGTGCTTTCTCCACCCAACACATCTGAGGGCTGTGTCTTGAATTTCTTTTTCTGGGGTGAATCTTTGTCTTGATATTCCATAGACTCCAGGTCGTAATGGTGTACCCACGTTTTGTCTCCTGTCACAATTGAATGGAGAAAGGCATCACCTTCACTCTTGTAACATGAGAGGAGTTCCTGGCAAATTTCAAGTCTGTGTGCTTTCATTTCAGGCGTCAGCACCCTGGGTACCCATTGTGCACAGATCTTCCAAAAGCCAAGCAAAGCAATAATGTGACCCACACGTTCTTGTGAAATGCCAATTATACTTGAAATTTCTCTCTGAGTGATATGACAATCATCCTGAATCAATCTGCCAACTTTTTGCTTGTGAAACTCAGTGGTTACTGTCATAGGAAGTCCAACTCTTTGTCACGCAAGTCACCTCAACATCTTTAAACTTACTCGCCCACAGTACTCTCACATCAACACAATCACCATAAACAGCTTGCATTCTCTTATGAATCTCCTTTGGGATGACACCTTCTGCTGTCAAGAATTCAATGACTGCACGTTGCTTAAGTCGCATTGATCGACTATCTGTGCAGGGTTCCATGCTTCACACTTACACAACACAACCATTCAATGCTAAGGCTTCACGCCAAAATGGAACTGTAGATGAGAGTCTACTGAACAAGCCAGTACCTACCACATACCAGTACTGCCATCTGTTGAGGAGTTACGAAGGTGGAGGCATTACTTTTCATTCAATTCTCGTACAACAGTCATACCTAAGAAGAGCATAATTACAGAGTTGGAAGAGACCTCATGGGCCATCCAGTCCAATCCCCTGCCAAGAGGCAGGAAAATCACATTCAAAGAACATACTCTGGTACTCATTTAGATGAATTTCAGTGATAGATTCTTTGAAGGGCACTGCACTCAGCATTACCTTTGGGACCCTCCTGGCCCTGCGTGTGGACAGAAGTTCACTTGTAGTACTCAGACTGTCCTCATTCAAGCTGGAGGGAGAGGAGGGGATGCCAAGCTGGGCCAGCAGCAGCATATCATCATGGCTATGCCTCTTGGGTAGCCGTGGCAGCCGATGGCTTTTTCTTTCTGACCAGTTCACAATTCTAAGAGACTGACTGCTAGGCTTTGAAGGTAACTAAGGAAAGAAAGAGAGGAGACACTGATAGTCATACAGATATAGTTTTTCTGGGAAAGGCCAATTATGCCAGGCCTACATTATACTCTTATGATTAGTAGAAAGCTCTCAAATAAGCATCAAGAAGCATCTCAGTCCAACAGACAAGGAGGGTTTGTTGCACTGAGACAAAATTACATTTTCACCAAAGACTGTATTTTGTCATTAGTATAACAAACAGCTTTGTACTAGCTCAAACCTTTGGGCCCAGTGCTCCCTACCATGGTTGGCCATCCTAAACAAATGTGCTCTTCTTAGATTTTGGAAACATTGCTTGTATTTCTACTCCCCCTCCCCTTTCAGAACCCTCCAACCAGCCTTGACTGCTATGCTCTATAACTGAGCAATAATTCCCATCCAGTGATGTCTCTAGACTAGGACACAATTCTGCAACCAGCAGAGAACAGTGGAATTTATCTTTAAATAAGAATTGCACTGAAAAATATTTTATCTCTTTGTAGAAAAAAAAGTCTTACAAGATATATCCAAAGCAGAATTTCTCAACCTGGGAGTTGGGATCTCTGGGGGAATCATGAGGAGTCACCAAATACCATCGGAAAACACTGTATTTCCTGTTGGTCATGGGAGGTTCTGTGTGGGAAGTTTGGCCCAATTCTATCATTGGTGGGGTTCAGAAGGCTCTTTGATTGTAGGTGAACTATAAGTCCCAGCAACTACAACTCCCAAATGTTAAGGTCTATTTTCCCCAAACTCCATCACTGTTCACATTTTGGCATACTGGGTATTTGTGCCACGTTTGGTCCATATCAATCATGATTTGAGTCCACAGTACTCTCTGGATGAAGGTGAACAACAACTCCAATGCCCACCAACCCCTTCCAGTATTTTCTGTTGGTCATGGAGTTCTGTGCGTCAAGTTTGGTTCAATTCCATCGTTGGTGAAGTTCAGAATGCTCTTTGATGGTAGGTGAACTATAAATCCCAGCAACTACAACTCCCAAATTACATAATCAATCCCCCCAACTCCACCATTATTCAAATTTGGCGTATCTGGTATTTATGCCAAATTTGGTCCAGTGAATGAAAATACATCTTTTCCTTCTTGGAATGCTCTAAAGGAATATTAGATAGATAGATAGATAGATAGATAGATAGATAGATAGATAGATAGATAGATAGATAGAATATTAGATAAATAGATAGATGGGAGCCTCCAGTGGCACAGTGGGCTAAACCACTGAGTTGCTGAGCTTGTTGACCGAAAGGTCACAGGTTCGAATCCGGTAGCGGCGTGAGCTTCCGCTGTCAACCCCAGCTTCTGCCAACCTAGTAGTTCAAAAACACGCAAATGTGAGTAGATCAATAGGTACCACTCCAGCAGGAAGGAAACAGTGCTCCATGCAGTCATGCTGGCCACATGACCTTGGAGGTGTCTACAGACAACGCCAGCTCTTCGGCTTAGAAATGGAGATGAGCACCAACCCCCAGAGTCGGCCACAACTGGACTTAATGTCAGGGGAAAACCTTTACCTTTACTAGATAGACAGACAGACAGATAGTCAGATAGAGAAATAGATATAGATAGAAAGACAGACAGAGGTGATTAGGCTGACATGGAGGACTGATTTGGTTAGTAATGATAAGATAACATGATGTGTTAATAATTTATGAACTTCAATCACAACAAAATCAATCAATCAAAACAATTAGTACCCCCCCCCCCCCCCGTTTTCCCTACCCTCTGAATCCATTGGACAGTCCCAGTTCAAATGTTCCTGTGTTGAGGAGCATGGTCTGTGCATAATGCCTGATCTTTTTCCATGAGCTGACCTATATTTTCTAAAATGGGCTAATTTACATATCAAGAATCCTAATCCTTGAGCTACCTGTCCAACATTCGGGGACACTACAAAACCATTACTGAATGCATGCACTTGAAATAAGCCCTTTGGATTTCAGTAAAATTTACTTTGAAGTGATTTAAACATATTTATAGGATAGCTGACAAACAAGTAGCAAAATGAACTGATATTGCAGAATGGATGAGTAACAAAGGAGGCATCTCTGTAGAAATAATTGGGTGGTAACTATTTTCTCACTTGAACAATAGTATATATTTCATTTCTACAGTACAATAAACTTTAAAGATAGTGGAGCACTGAATAGCAAAAAGGTAAAAAATAATCCGATCTATTCAAAAGGGAAAGAGAATTAAGTGAGTGATTCTGTAGTCGTAAAAACAAAGAAGAGTAACAATTCTAAATAACACTAATGTGCCATACCAAAAACTGTGATAGTTAAAGCAACTGAAAAAGTAACAATATAAACATTTAAATTGCTAATGGATGTAAGAATTTAAAGGGATTCTACTTCTTTTCTGTATCTCGTTTTCAGTTGCACATGATTATTTTGCATCTGTTTTTTGTCTGGGCTTCTACCGTGAATGGCTCTTTTGCAGAATGCAAACAAATAAAACACTCTCAAGTCGGAACACATGAACCCGAGACCACCCTGCTCCCCTCCCCAACATGGATGTACAGTATTACCTGGGGAGGTGCTGTGTACTTCCTGTCCTGGGGAGTCCACATCCTGTGCAAAGAATCTAGGGAACTTTCAGAAATCTGCTGAGATTTTCGGCCTGCGTTACGGGCTTTCAGCTCCACATCCTCATATGGGTTTTCCTTGGGTGAATCTCCTTTACCATTTTTTTAAAGAAAAGAAAAACAGACAGGAATGTAAAACAAAACAAAAAAAATCATGTGAACCAAGCAAAAGGCTTGTAGAAAACCTCCTCAGCTTCCAGCATGACTCATCCTTCCAACTGCAGCTGGAAGTACTTGGAGTAGACTTTGGCTATGAAAGACAGTGTGTGTGTGTGTGTGTGTGTGTGTGTTTTAGGAGAGATTTCACAAGACTGCCTTCTGAGCCCTGACAGCTCAGTTTTATTCATGGATTTTTAAAAAGAAAAGGAACATTAAACACACAGTTCCTTTATGGAGAACAAGGCAACTTAACTACCAGTAAAAATAACTGTGACTTACTCAGAAGCTGTACTGCATTCAGTACAACTTACTCTCTAGTAAGCATTCACTGAATTGTAAATCAAAATCATATATCCCTCCCTTAAAAAAAAGAATGGTAATTCTTTTACTTCCTTTTGTGACTTCCTTGACTATACCTGGAGCTGGTAATTCAGATATCATTGGGTGTAACAAACACATTTTTAAAGACCATTGGCTTGTCATATGCTGCAAGTCCCACTGTTGTGTCTCATGCCACAATCCACTCTCCTCCTAGGATGCAAATGGTTTGAGGAATAACATAGCATATTTACTCAAGTCTAATGCTCATCTTTTTTGGCTATATTACATCGATGTGCACATTAGATTCAACAACATGTTAGGACAGCACACATAAACCCTCCTATGTAAAAAGGTCCAGAGGGATCCAGGATCCCAGAGACCGACAGGGAAGCGGAAGCAGGGTGTGTGAAGAGGCTGTTCCCCGTGGTAGTGGCATCCCCAGGGCTCTGTGGTGTTTGGAGGAGGAGGAGGAGAACCCGGTTGATGACCTAGTTGTTCCTGCTGTTTTAGCTGAGGACCCTGCCTCCCAGACGGCCTTCGGGGTCTGTTGGCAATAACGAAGTTCTCCAGTGATGCCAGGTGCTCTCTGGAGATAAATGCCAGCAAAGATAAAAGTGACCATCTACTGAGGCCAAAATGGTTCTGGCCCAACTGGATGACCAGGAGTTCAACCCTGCCACTACCAAAGTTCAGAAGTGCAGCATGTAAACACCTCTGCAGAATCCAGGGCTGGTCCAAAACAGCAACACCTTATCCCAGCCCTGTATTTAGGTGTCTATGTAAATGAGGCCACATAATGACACCACATAAAGGAAGATATTACAAAAACATAAATACAGAATGCTGAATATGTGGAGAGAATGAGGGAACATTCTACCACATGTGGTGGTCATGTAAGAAGGCAAAGATCTTTTTGAATGAAATACCGGCAAATATGCAGGAAATACTAAAGATAAAAATCCCATGGAGGGCGGAGACATTCCTATTAGGGATGACGGAGCAAAAACTAGAGAGAAACAAGGATAAATTATTATTCCTGATGACCACAGCCACAAGAATTTGCTATGCAAAGCATTGGAGAAAAAAGGATATACCAAAGATAGAAGACTGGATAGTAAAAACGTTAGAAATTAGGAATATAGACAGATTAACATATTTAATGTCAAAAAATAAAGGAAATCAAAATAAAGAGATGGATTGGAGTGAAATAATAGAATACTTAAAGCAAGATAAGAGGATAATAGTATAAAGAATTTAACTTACACCCAAAAGATACAATAGAAGAGGAGAACAACAAATAAAGATGAAAGACAGAAAACTCAAAGAAGATGCCCAGAATTCACAGACATTTTATTTTAGCATGTAGCTCTTTCTCTCTCTCCTTTTTTTCTCTTTCTCTCATCTTCTCTCTTCTTTTTTTTCTCTCTCTTATCCTATCTTCTTTTTTCCTTTCTCTCTTCCCTACTTTTGTTAGTATAAAGGGTTTTTTTCTTTGTGGTTTTTTTTCCAATTTTTATACAATATGTAAAAACTCTAATAAAGACTCTTTTTAAAAAATGAGGCCATAAAAAGGCCTTAAATGCAATGGGGGAAAAACTTCACAAGTGCCCACTCCATTTGATGATATATAGTATTTTTATCTTTTATATATTTCAACTGTAAGACAATATTAAGTCTTTTTTAAAAAAAGTTCTAGGATTTATTTCAACAGACACACACCAGTCCAGTTCCATCAACTACATATGCGAAGCAGCCATTACTTGGAATCTACTAAATTACACTGAAGCTCATTTTTATAGTCTTACGTAAGCTGAGAAATCCTTGACAGTCCATCTGGGTTTCAACCAGCCAATACAAATTTGGTGACATCCTGAAATTTTCCTACCTGACTGCTGACAACATAATTTATACATGTTAAATAACACACACCCAAATAAACCATAATTTTAGGATTGTTTTAATTACAATGTTTGGCAACTGTGGCTGCTGTTGAACAAAAAAGTGTTTCCACTGGCAGTTCTTGATAATTATATCAGAAGCATGGAATGCAATTGTATAGATTGTACTGGGATTTACAGCCTCTAGCAACAGGACACCTCCCTGCTCAGTACTATTGGAGTACAATTCAAAAACTTTTTTGCCAATTCAGAAAATTAGTCTTAATAAATATGCAGTTTTTGTACTGTGTAAATCTCAAACTACAAATTCTGCCATGATACTTTTAAAATGCCCAAAGAAAAAAAAGAATGATAAATAACTATAGCTGTGAAATCAGTTTTAAAGAACTACAATCTAAAGCGTAACAAGTGCTAGTCCCACACTACATGAAGCTTTAAAGTATACAAATAACACTTTGAATTGAGCCTGGAAACAAATAGGGAAGTGGAATGATAAGTTTCCAACAGTGCTAGCAAGCAATACATTCAAATAAAGAAGTAATCTGTTGTGAGTTACTAAGGAGGGTAAAAATGACTTTTAGAACTTCACAATATTGCAACAGATGATAAGTGAAATCTAACATCATGTGCACAAATCTCTCTCTCTTAATTCCTTTCAGCTCTCTTTGCTACTCCTCAAATACTCTCCAGGAGATATCTATGGAGAGATCCCATCTAATCTGAAAAATGAAGTAGGCTTCATTCCGTTTAGTACTTGAATGGGAAACTGCCAAGGAGTACCAGGTGCTGAGACTGTATTTCAGAGGAAGGAAGTGGCAAAACCACCCCTGGGTATTGCTTTCCTCAGAAAACATTATGAAATTCATGGGATTGCCATAAATCAATAGAGACCCTGAAGGCATACATACACACAGAGAAGAGTTGGATTACAACCAGGAAAAAGGGATATTTAAGATTTTCCTTTGCTGTGATTCGGAGGACATTTCCCTATCCAAAGGTGCCATTTGCATTGGGAAGAAATCCTTCATTATCACTTACATGCACTTGAAAATGCATACTACTAAAATGCATATAATTTTGAGAAACAGGCAAGCATCCATTACTAAATAGGCTAAATACATTGGAATAACAAATATATTGAAAATGAATGCCAAAATTTAAATTGATTTACGTGGGGGAAGAAATAAATCTCACAACAGAACCTACAACTGGAGCATGATAAATAGAAACATGGTATCATAGTTGGGTGAGACTGTAAGAACCATTCAGTTCAAGCTTCTGCCATGCAGGAAAACACAATCAATATGACAGTGGATTCTGAGAAATGCAAATACAATTGTTTATACAAGCCAATATAAATATAAAGAGTGTTGTATGGTTTCAGTCTGGTTGAAGTATATCAGCTGTTGGGTCATTTAACACTAAAGTTAAATTTATTATTTTGCAGAATTAGTAGGCAGGAATTGTAGGGGAAAACATATTTCTACATTATCTTAATTTCAAAAAAGCTGCAAAATGATATATACAAGAATTTTCCAAAAACATTGTGAAATGGAATATTGAAAGACACTTTATTTGAACATTTGGAAACCAGGTAATGAGCAATGTGAGGTGAAAAGCATAAAATCATTAAGTCCAAGCCCCATCTCAATGTAGGATCTTCAGCTAAAGCATCTTCAGCAGGTAGCTGTCCAGACTCTTTTTGAAGACATCCAGAGATCGTGACCCCACCACCTCTCTATGCAATAGGTTCCATTCCTGAATCCCTCTCTGTGAAGAACTTCAAGAGAAATCTCTCCTGTAACTTCTAAGAATGAGGCCTGGTCCTACCCTATGGGTCAGCAGAAAGCAGGCCTGCTCCCTCTCCTCTCTGTGACAAATGCAATTGTTAACAGTCTTCTCTTCACCAGGTTTTTCAACCTTTCCTCATATGTTTTGTTCTGTATATTTCTTATGCTTGTTGCTCTTCTCTGAACCTGCTCCAACTCTTCTGAATGTGCCTTCAAGTCCCCAGTCAACTTATAGAGATCCCAAAAATTCATACAATTTTCATAGGCGAGAAATACTCAAGAGGTAGTTTGCCAGTTCTTTTCTCTGAAAAATATAGCCTTCAGCATCTGCTATTCATCAGCAGTCTCTCTCCCAAGTGTTAACCAGGGCTGACAGTGCTCAGCTTCCAAGATCTGACTGGACTCGGTGTAGTCTTCTTAAAAGGAACTGCCAAAACTGAATGCAGTACTTTAGAGGTTATTGCTTCCTTTGACACGTGCTTCTGCTAATGCATGCTAAAAAAGCATGCTCCATCTTCATTGCAGCAATACATAAGGGATTCAAATACTTTATTTCTGGAGTAAAATTGGTCATTCTCTTATTTATCTCCAATTAATCAATCTGTTTATTGATTTTTAAAGTTCATGGCACCAATCCTTTAGCCTTCCTTTGGAATGAATTATCAAATGCTGAAATGTTCTGTTCAGTCTTGAACTAAATGCAACTTGTCCATTCCAATGTCATGGTGTCCACCTATTCTCCGTCACTGGTAGAGACAGTAGAAATCAATCTCATTGTTCTGCCTTGACGTCAGGAGGAGTTCTTGAAAGAACAGAAGACATTCGCTGAGGTTGTCAATGTTAATGTTAATTCCAATGAACCATTTTGACACATAGCATAAATTGTCCCCCCCAAAATATGGTGGGACACAGTCTTTCCAATTC